GATAGATAGATAGATAGATAGATAGATAGATAGATAGATAGATAGATTGATAGATAGATAGATAGATAGATCATTCTGTCTTTTTTCCTTTTTGTCTGACTGTTTTTGCTTCCATAACATTCTCGTGTTGAAGACAAGGAATTCATCCTCTAAGGCACGACAATTTGCTTCATGGTCTAATTCTGAATTAACAGGAACAATACACTGGAAGGTGCTGAGGCTTTTCAGTTACCGAAACGTAGAGGATTTGAATGTTAATTTGAGTGTAACTCTCAAAAGGATTAACAGCACTGACACTAAAAAGCCACTAATCTGAGCTTTTACAAACTATGAAATATGGACTGCTAAGTTTTAGCAAATGAAATGTAGAATAAGCGTGTGTTTGGGTGCAGGATTGGGACTAATCTGGCTTTGTAGGTATGACTTCAGCTGTTTGGATAGAAACACAACATGTCCATCAGTCGAGGTCGAATAACTCTTTGTCTTATTTTTCTCTGTTTTTGGATGTTTTCCCCACCTCTCTTTTCATTGTTCCTTTTTTCTTTTCTTTTCATAACCATTTCTGTAATGTTTAAAAGTTCACTGTCACAATCACCATGGTAACTATAATTTCAGTGGAACTTGCAGCTGCCTTCTATTCAGGCAACGTTGTTGATTGACTGTAAGTGTAGAGGAGTTTTGTGTGTTTCTTTGTCTGCATCTCTTTCAAATCAATGCATCTCTCATGTTTACTTTTTCTGCTATTTTTCTTGCTGAGAGCTGACATCTGCAGAGTATATCAGGAGGTTCTTTGGTTTCTGTAATAAATAAATCATTGTGTTCTGCAAGGCTATATGAACTGCATCATGCATTCATTGATATGGCGGCAATATCACTTAACAGTACGATAGTCCTACATCTTTATATTTTGGGCAAGATGTTACCATAAACCAAAAATAAAAACAAATCATTTCAGTTATATCTTATACATTCAATGGACAACTGTAACAGATTTACTGCTTCCATTTCCTCCATTCAGTAAAATGACCACAAAACTGTGCTTAGTCTGTCTTTCCTTTCTCAGCAGTTGCTTCAAATAGTTGTCAAAAGTACTGTAGAAAACGGCTGCTTTTGGTGCACCAGGCCAGACCCTATAGTGTTTCTATTTATACAACCACAACGGACGAGTCAGAGTTTAAATATAGATGCTGAGTCTGGATTCTCTTCTTCATCTGAAATGCATGAATAATTGAGAGGGAGAGGAGATGAGGTGGGATTCATTCAGGAAATGGATGGTGAAAGCATAGATGTCCTACCTACAATTTGAAGTTTACTAATAATCTTTGCATATGCAACATCTTTGTAAATTGAAGGAAAGGTTGATGATGTCTCCAAATATGGCTTATTTCAAATGTCTGAAAAATAAACAGTCTTGATTAGAATTAGAAATGTCAAATATGAAAAAGGATGCTATGTCTACCTTTAGGAAAATTTGAATATTGTTTCCAGATTTAAAAATGTTTAAAATGTATACTTGACTTACGCTTGTCATACTTGAAGAAAGGTTATACAATTTAGAGACACTGCCTTGCAAAGATGGCGTCTTCAACATTATGCAATATTTACACTTTCTATCTGTATGACACATACAATAATTTAGAGGTGCCTAGCCTTAATGTGTCAGAAGCAAGGTCATGAACACAGAGCTACTTATGGTTGCGTTCAACCTTTTGGCAGGAAATTAACTCCATAGCTACTGGTATAATCACCCAAGAAAAGCCACAACGTAGAAATCATTTGACTTGACGAGATGTTGGAGGTTAGGATAAACGAGGCTGTTAATAGTTAAGAGGCGATGGAGGGTGGAAAGTACAGCTGAGCCACTGCAAATGTGTCTGTGTGCATTTCAAGCTATCATGCTGGGGGAAATGTAGAAGACACAGTCTCCTCCCGTCTCCATGGAAACCCCATCTCTTTCACAGGCGGAGAGGCAGAGCCATTCTACATTTGGAATCAGGGCTGTGAATTATTCCACATTATTACTAGTACACAATTGACCACTGACAACCCCAACAAGATAAGTGGTGTAGTAGTAACGATGCCAGCCGTGCCGTTTAAACGATCAAATGAAAACGTTTTCGTGTGGTACACGAGGTGTCGAAATGAAGGTGGTGCCTCACAGACCTATTTATGAAGAGCTGTTTTCCATTTCTAAAAATACATTTTTGGCCTCAAATATACATTTTTAGAAAATAGTCCCATTGGATCAAACGACAAAAAAAAGAACTAATAACCTGTGACGAAGCACAAAACACAAAGAGCGAAAGAGACATACATAAAACAGATTATAACGCAGTACGGGTGGTTCAGCGCCTAATATGCTACTAGTGAGGTACAAATCATGGCTTTTAGAGATGGAGGTACAAAAAAGAGGAAGATACAAAGAAAGAGACTCTGTCAGACTTGCTTTTCACACGCAGGTCCATGTAGCCACCTCCTGTCGAGCTTCAAGGGAGTTGTCATGGTGACAGTGGCTGGCAGTGGAGTCTGGGAGAGCGTTACATGTTATCCCTGTGGCCTCCAATGTGGCTCAGGGGATGATGGGAAGCACAAGTCAGCTGTCAGGGGATCTTGGTGTTTAAGCAAGACCTGGATTCAGTCAACCAAAAACAGTTAAGCCTTCCCCAAAACTCCTCGAACAAAGGGTTAGGTGGAAGTTTTGGAGAAGTCCTGGTCATTATTATGTAGGTCCACTGTGGGCTCCCAGGAGCAAGAGATTACGCAGCTAAAGAAAAGCAGTTTGTCCCTTCCTACTGTTACTTTCCATGAGAAAGGTTCCACTTAGAGCGCTGGGAGCCTGGGAGTTCCTAACTGTCTTTGGGGATGCCACCACACTTAATGCAGTGTGAAGTTGAAAAATATTGAAAATACTACTCTGTAGGTCTTTTAAGTATTTCCAGAGCTTGTGGTGGATGACCATAGTTTGTGCAAACATTTAATATATATTGCATTCATTCCGTTCATTTTCTCTCTCTGTATTACTTTTAAACCGAACTAAAAGTCTAACGCTAACCAGAGGCGGAAAGAAATTTTATCAGAATTAACAAGCGGAAACTATTCCACTTGAGGTGAAAACAGTGGCACAATAGCAAAAATCAGTTTAGCAAATCTTTAAAAAAATTAACAAGCGGAAACTATTCCACTTGAGGTGAAAACAGTGGCACAATAGCAAAAATCAGTTTAGCAAATCTTTAAAAAAATCTTCCCAAGATGCTTTCAGAGATCTGGGATAGTGTTGGTGCAAGCACTATGCATGAAGCAATATTTCCTTTTCAATCAATGTCATGCCCACAGATTTTTAGTCCAAAAGGACATTTATGTACTGAGTTTTGAGAGTACATTTAACTCCATTTTTTTCAAGGAAAATCTGGGGGTCACCTTGCCTAAAGATGATGGAACTCCCTGTGGACCCATTGAGAAAATAGGCCATGAAAGACTGATATTTGTCACAGTGGAATTTACCCTCAATCTGTCCTCTTTCTCTTTCTATCTGCCAAACAAATTCGGTCTTTCTCTTCTCATAACCTTATAAATAGTGTGCTTCCTTGTTCTTTTTTATCCCTTTGTTGAGCTAGCAAGAAATATTCATTGGCTGTTTTGCATCCAAATAATCACAAGAACTCAACGTATAAAAGGATGTAATCTTACAAATCCATTTGGTTTTAGAATGTTGGTCACCATGATCACTCTCATGAGTCCATGAATAGTCTGTAATTTGGTTGATTCTAAAATTATGCCTGCAGTATCAATCAGTCTATCCCAGATAGATGTTTGTTTTCTGTCTCCTTAATGTGCAATGAAAGGTGAATCTCAGCTTTGGAGTTTATCAGTTTTATGAAATTAGAGCCCTGTGACATTCAGCGAGAGGGATTCAGACAAACTAGACAGGATGAGTGAGTGCACACAGACCACTGAGCAGGGTCGTCCCCGTCCAGTGGGAATCGTGTAGGGTATCCTAGAGGAACTTAACCTCATAACCATAACAGTACACAGCAGTGCTAATGTGCCTTGATTAGCAACCTTTTTATAGCCTCTCAATCCTATTACCTCTGCCCTTTTTTGGCCCGCTCGACCTCCGCTACAACCTCTGGTGGCTTCAAATTTGGGATTTGTTAACATTGTGTCTTTTATCATTTTTCTTGCTCGTTAGAAGTCTGATTTGTCTTATACCCAGTGGGTGACCTTTAATACCTGGTGTTTACAAAGATAGAGCAGGAAATGAGCAACACACCATTTTATTTACTTTAGAGAAATAATTTTCTCCTTAACAGTATAATCATTTTCACTGTACCTTCTCTGCCACTTCACTTATATGCTGCCCGTGTCAGCTTCACCCTCACCCTTCAGCCCCTCTCTGCTCTTCAAGTGCTTGATTCAAATAGATTTCCTCCAGGGCAGGGGAAGAGGAGCACAGAGGGAAGGAGATAAACAGATAGGGTCATTATTCATTTCTGCCGTGAAGCTATGGCAACAGTATCCTGCTGCTCTGATTGGTCATAGATAAGGTTGTCTTTTTAGCCATCACTTTCACTCTGGGTAATCCAAATTATTGGTTCGTTGTCAAGGTCCCATTTGTCAGTCACCTCTTAAATGCAGATTGCCGCCATCACTTTTTCTGTTAGTTTGTCTGAATTTCCTCTGGGTGATTTATAAAAAGACCTTGTATCATGAGGTGGACTTTGGTCAGTTTGTTTACACCAACGATAGTGTGTTTGGCCAGAATATCCAGTTGATCAGTATGATCTTGTTTACTTATTGTCAGCATTGAATTTTGTAGCAAGTATGTTCACTATTATAGGATTTATTCCATCACATAATATCCTAACTTCTCTTGTGTGGGATATTGCCAAAACAGGCTCAGTGTTCCAGTATCAGCCTCCTACTCATCTCTCTATAAGATGTGCCGTTTGGAGATTGAAGGTTAATATTTTCAGTGTAGGCTTGTTCATCAAATAATGCAGATCTTGGTCCTGTAAAGTAACAGAAAGGAATATATGTGACCCTGTTGCCCTGGTTTCTGTCTTGTTGGTGCATGAACATTGCTTATGGAAACAGCAAAAAAACTAAGTTATGTTTTTTTGTTGAAAGACATAACTTTGGTGGAAAAAACTGAAATAGAGATCATACAGTTTGTATTAATGAAAAACATGCATGCTGGATTTTAACTCATGACTAAATGATTTATGATCACCTGAGTCTTTGAGGAAGGAAGTCTGTGTTAATGGAAAAGTGTATGCTCTTTAAATTTCAGGAAAAAAGTTATTGTGTGGGTGTTATCGATATGCTTTTTTTTATGAAAGAACTCCCAGTTCTTTTAACTGTGCATTGTGAATCATCAGCATCATCTCATGTAGTGGATTCTGAGGACTTTTTGCTCTTGTATTTTAGTTTTTGTGTCATGACATGAGTGTTACTTTACATATACTGACAAATCTGCTCCATCTAAATTCAGAGAGCCCATTAAAAGATGAAAGCAAGAAAAAGGAGAGGAGTGCTATGATTTTTTTTGTCATAATTTGTCTTATGAGGACAGAAGGTTTTTAAGGAGGTTAGTGACATGGTGAATGGTGAGAAAAAAAGCTGCAGATGAGCCAGAATCAGGAGAGGTTTCTGCTCACCTCTGTTGCTTCATAGCAAATGGCTGTGGGGGGTGGGGGGTACTTGGAGTCCATATCTTTTACATACACTATGTGATGCTAAAAAGATTAATAATCCACATCTAATCGGGATGTTTTCGTAACCTTCCCAGAGTTACCCTGCCTCAACCCAACAAGGGATAAGCAGTATAGCAAATGATTGGATATTACTATTGCTGGATTCTCCAGTATTTGTGAATAGTTGCTAAACGTTATTGTCCAGTCAAGCACAATGACTCATGTGAATAAACTTGATAAGTGAATCATAAGTGAATAAGTAGTCCAAGTGGATTTAGTCCATTAGCTCTTAGCAAATCACACAGTCATTTGAGCATCTATCGTAGGTTTATTTGACTCAGATTATTGGCATTCATTTATGGTCAGCACTGCCTTATTAGAGTTCTGATCCTTTATTAATATGCTTGAGGTACATAAATACTGTGTAGGGTTTCATTGTGTAATCAGATTTAGAGTTAAATTGTAGGTGGCAAAAAAGCAAACTAAGCTTTCTTGTGAAAATTTCATCATACAGAATTGTGTACAAAGGCAGTGTTTGTGTTCTTGAAACAGTCTTCCTGCTTGACCCTAAAGTGGCAAATAGTATTCCAATGTGAAAATTTTGCATGGAGTTTGAACTTAATCCAGAATCTATTCAAGAATTGAATAGCCTTGTGGTTCTTCACTGAGTGAAGACCTGTGACTGAGTAGAAGCAAGCAACAAAATAATCTTAGGAAAATACTCAAGAATGCAGGGTTTTCTAGTTTTTAAAGAGTTTTGCAACACATTTGCTAATCCTTTACTTTTTATTCATGTTACTTTTAAAATTTTGTCTTTCAGATCCTGGCGATCATCTCCATCCTCTTCATTGTGTTATCCACAATCGCTCTGTCTCTGAACACCCTTCCAGAGCTGCAAGACATGGATGAATTTGGCCAGTCAACAGACAACCCACAGTTGGCACACGTGGAAGCTGTGTGCATTGCCTGGTTTACCATGGAATACCTCCTCCGCTTCCTCTCATCCCCCAACAAATGGAAGTTCTTCAAAGGTCCTCTAAATGTCATTGACCTGTTGGCCATTTTGCCCTACTATGTCACCATTTTCCTGACGGAATCTAACAAGAGCGTGCTCCAGTTTCAGAATGTCAGACGTGTGGTTCAGATCTTCAGGATCATGCGTATCCTGCGTATTCTGAAGCTGGCTCGTCACTCCACAGGGCTCCAGTCTCTGGGCTTCACTCTTAGGAGGAGCTACAATGAGCTTGGTTTGCTTATTCTGTTCCTGGCCATGGGCATCATGATCTTCTCTAGTCTTGTATTTTTTGCTGAGAAGGATGAAGAGGATACAAAGTTCAAAAGCATTCCTGCCTCTTTCTGGTGGGCAACTATTACTATGACAACTGTTGGCTATGGCGATATCTATCCCAAAACTCTGCTGGGAAAGATTGTAGGGGGGTTGTGCTGCATTGCTGGAGTACTTGTGATTGCACTACCCATTCCCATAATTGTAAATAACTTCTCTGAATTCTACAAGGAGCAGAAAAGGCAAGAAAAGGCACTTAAAAGAAGAGAAGCCCTTGAGAGGGCAAAAAGAAATGGTAGCATTGTATCTATGAACTTGAAAGAGGCTTTTGCCCGTAGTGCAGAGCTGATGGATGTTGTGGTAGAGAAGAGTGAAAGGCCTCATGACAACCACCTTTCTCCAAGTCGTTGGAAATGGACTCCCAAAAGGGCAACATCAGAGACAAGCTCAAATCGTTCCTACGCTCCACAAGAGTCAGGCTCCCCCTGCAAGTCTAGAACCAACAGTCCCCAAAGGTTAAACGTCCAGAAACTGGAGGAGATGTACAATCAGATGGCAAAGACACAGTCACAACCAAACCTCAATGCTAAAGACAGGAGTTCGAGAGCTGGTAAACACAGAGATGAGATTGAACTTGGAGCAATTCATAATCATGGACCACCAGCCATAGGAACCAGAGAAGGTGTGGGCGATATGAAAAGCTTATCTAGCATTGACAGCTACATCAGTTGTGCAACAGATTTCCAGGAAAATCCACGCTTTCCCCACAGTCCAGCCCCAGATCTGGGTCTTCAGGAAAGTAACCGCTTCGCTTACGGTCCAGTTGCAGCTTTGTCCCAGCACTCCAGTACTAGGGTCGGCCCACAAATCAGGGGGCAGCCCATGGTGACTCCTGTGTCAAAGTCCTCATTCCCAGAAAATTCAAGGAAGTTCTTTTTTTCTGGAAACAGTTCAAAAAGCCTTAAAGGGGGTGGCCGCGTTGAAGGGGATTCAGGGCTGTCCCCATGTTCCGGCAGCTCAGTTGTGTCTGATCACTCCCTGTTAAGCCCAGAGGTTTCTATCTACACCACTGCCAGCAGCAAGACCCCTCCAAAGTCTCCAGAAAGCACTGCCATGGGCCCAACTGTCTTCACTTTTCACGACTCATCCATCAGTAAATATATTGATGCTGATACAGATGATGATGAACACCTCCGTGACATATCTGAGACCAGTCCATCAGAACGTCTGCTGGCTAGTACGAGCCCAAAACACAGTATCAGCATGAATTACCAGAGGGGGACTAACCATTTAGAAGCAGCCCAAAAGATGCTGGGCCAGAATTGTCTTTTTGCCCTGGAAGGGATCCGTGGGATAGCTCACGAGAATCACATAGGATCTGAGATTGGACGCAGACCAAAGGTTGAAAGGGGGCGTCAAAATACTTTGGATAAAGGCCTCTGAGGCACAAGTGAAGCAGAGACTAATAAGTAGCAAGAAACAGTCTGTTAGACTGAAATACTCAATAAGACAGTGACAGAATAAGAGCGGAGACAAAGGGTCTCACATTTTATAAGTTATCTGAGCAAGGCATTAGTGCAACAAGCTTTGAGCAGACAAAAGTGATGAATACTCTGGGAAAGAAGCATTTCTTAATTGGAAAATGTCACTGCCCCTCCTTTAGCTCATTCCTATTAGTGGCAATTCACACCCACGAAAACAGAAGAGCACTACCAAGCTAGCAATGGGTCTGTTCAGAGAAGCAGAGTCAGCAAAGAAATATAGATGTGCTTATAAATGAGGTTACACAACTAAATTACGGTTTTAATTAAACTGTCCATGGAAAAAAGTAGTCTCCTACTGACTCCAAGCTCATTTTTTAGTCTTGGAGATTCATAACAGGACCTAAACGCCTATAAGCTACTTTCTTGTGCCCTCCATTCCCAAACCTGGCCTTAGTCATTTACATTTGTAGGCGTGTACATGTCTGCATATGTCTGTGAGAAAGAATGTGAATATCAACGAGTGATCTCCTGATATTTAATGTAAACACACTCTTGAGATTGTCTAGTCCCGATTTATTTTTTTATATATATATATACGAGAAAGGTCCATATAGAAGGTGATTCTCTAGTCTGCTTTGTCATAATCATCTGTAAAATGTGTAAAGTTCAGTGTCTTGGCACAGGGTTCAGCGCACCATCTGTTATATTGGCTGCAATCTTGAGAAGTAACATGCTATCCTATAGATATCTGGGTGGACACACTTGTAGAGATGGCAAATATATTTAAATCTTGACTAGAGGAATGAGGTAGACAGATGTTTCCAATATGGATGAAGAAAAAAGTCATGAATAATTATTCTCATTTTAGCATAAACTGCACATCAACAATGCATGCATGCACTCACCTAGTCAGCAAATGAAGAATGTTGAGCTGCTTGTGCATCATTTCAGAAGAAGTTATTGAATGGAGGGAAATCATCCAGGATTATTGTAACTTGACATGAAGTTTAGACTTCAGTGACAAAACCTCTGCATGCCTTCATCTGATTCACTTGAAATAAGTCAAGTGATCATGTAGTTTCACATAATATTAGATAAATGTATGAGACACTGAAACCAAGAAAATTATTAATGTCAATAGCATTCTACTAGTCATCATGGGAAATTAGAAAACCACTTCCACAAGGTTAAAGATGTAATAGCTATGAAATGTTCAAACTACCAGAGCTGATCAAACTGGTTGATGACCTCTCTTACATAGGGTCACAGAAGAAAGGTGCAGGTATGTCAAATTGTCTTCGGGATACATACATATTGCTTTTATGGCAGCCAAATTTACTATTAACAGTTGGTCAGAGATTTCTCATGAAGAGCAGTGAAGGTCTACATGTAATATCCTTAACCCATACATGAAAACGCATGCAGGCACACATTCAGTGACATACTGTAAATACATGAAAGCCACACCCTTGAGCCACTCTTAATGCTCGTTATTAATGACCACAGTGGCAATGAAACACAGTGGTGTAAGGTCCTTTAAAAATTTCTATAGCATTCCGTGAATATCATGAATGGGTTTCTTGGCTGTTACCCAACGATTTAGAAAACACTATCTCATCCTCTCTAATGTGTTTACACTGCCACAATCAACAGAAAAACTGCCACAGTTGACAAATTCTTTTTTATAGGACTGACTGTAATGATTGTACAAAAACAAGTCAGAGGAAGCCACATTCATCATGACCAAAATCCTAATCTTTTAACATTCCACTGAGATTATATTGACATGATGTTAATAACAATATGAGGAGTCGTTCCTGAACCTCTTCAAAATTGAGCCTCCATGTCAGTGCTCGGATTAGTGCAGTAAAGCACATTCAAACACAACATCTGCTATGTTTAAAAACAGAACATTTTTTAAATTAATGTAAACAAAAAGTGAATAGAAAAATCTTTCTAACTTTGCAAGCGTTGGCTCACTCAGGTTTGAAAATACTTGGGCCACATGTAGTCACTCAAAGGTGGACTTTTGCTGTCGTAATAACCACATTTATGTCATCCTGGCCTCACACTACACATACTTAGAAACTATTACTGCCCTTTAATGTGTTTTTTTCAGAAAAATTTGTGACATAGATATTTGTCCCTAACCCTAACCCTAACCCACAAATTTAGTCATTTGTAACTTCAGCAGCTCAGCCAACCACTGAAAGAACTAAACATGTATTTATTATGAGGTGTGAGCAGAGTTCATGAGACTTGTAGATTTGATGCCAACATGCATTATAGTTTTTGGTAACCAACATCACACAAGAACAGTTAATATGTTTGTCTGTTTTTGTCTGTATGTCTTCTCTGTCAACACGTCAAAAAGTATCAAGATGAGCAAAAAGGGAGAACCTCAAGCCAGTTCAATATGTTTAGAGTGAAAGGGTATCTTTGTCAGTTCCTCATATAGAGTGGCAAAAGATGCAAATAAAAAGAGGCCAATGCACTATGACAGATTCAGCTGTTGAGTGAAAGTTGATCCAAAAGTCAACGGAAAATGATTTTGACATACATTTTCTGTGTTGCACTTATGAGTATAATCACAAACCCTGATTCCGTTTCCAATTTTAATCGAAGAGCTTGACCATTTCATACTGCTCTGCCATAGTGAGAGGAGCTGAGGTGTGAAAGGAATAGCAATGACTGCAAGAAGGAGAGGCAGCTGTGCGTGCGTGCGTGTGTGTGTGCGTGTGTGTGTGTTTGTGTGCATGCCACTGCTATAAAGCCTGGGTATCAAAGCTGTGATGTTGCTTCTTAATGGGGAAGAATGAACATTTTCCATCAAGACTGCATGTTGTGGGAGACCTGCCTTTGTTTTATCCGCAATTTATCAGCAGTTGTGACTGCAGTGTAAAGCAGATTATATCAACAGCTAAAAAATAACACAGGAGGGATTGAGATTGCATTCTTTTCTTTTCTTTTATGATTTCTTTCTTTTATGTTTTGATAAATAACGTTGGGTATTTTTTCAAATTTTACAAAAAAAATAATTTGTTTCATTGTTGGACAAAGAATTTGTACTAACATCAAAAGGTTGGTTCTCAGAAATGTCAAAACAATCCATATTGGCTGTTTTGAAGTGTTAAAATTGGTTTCAATCAAAAATGAGAGTTCAATAGTAACACAATTAAATTTCATAATGAGAGGGGGAAAAACTCATAGCACAGCATTTGGCCATGGTTTTTGCACATATTGTCAATGGCAGATATTGGTTTTATTCATACAAAATCTTACAGTTTAATATGTTTAATTCTTAATATATTATTATGTCCGGGTAACGGGTTAATCTCCTGAAGGAATATACGCAGAGATACTATGCTGTGAGTGTTGGGTTTAGATCACCTCCCCACTGCTATGTGTCTTTGTTTTATAAGAGGTAAAAATTCCTATCAAAACTCCAATACCACTGAAGATTCCCCAGGGTTCATATATGTTGAGAGGAAACATGGGTTGGTAATCTTCAGAGTCGTATGTGCAACAGAAAGAAAATATCATGACACATCATGTGACGTTCTCTTTTATCATTTAGGTTTGTTTTTTGCGTATACAGTAGTCAGGGACCTTTTTCACTGAAAATCTCAAAATTACGACAATCAATATTTCACGAATAAGCAGCAAGCACGGCAGTAGAAAACTGAGATTTATCGTGGGGGTGTATGACAGATGCGCTCCTACGCGCATGCACGCACACCAAGTGTTGAAACCTGGATTCTAGTCTTGATAGTTTTAAGCTTTTAAAAAAAAAAGTAGTACAAAGAAACATCAAGTATGATGTTTGATTTGATACTTAGACTATGATACTGTGACACAATGCTACAAAAAGTCATTTGTTTTTCATTCTTGCTTTCTTTTATTAGGACATGTTACTCTGCTCCATTTTCATGGGAGCCATTGACAATAATGAAATCTTACAGTCTAGCAGACCTTTTAATTTACTGAGGTCCCTGTGGATGTGAATCAAAAGATGAGACCATGACTCTGTTTTATTTCTCGTTTATTGATATAAGATAAAATCAAGAGCACATATTCTCCAACTTATCCATAACAGCACTCCCAGATGTCCTATAAGATTGTACAGTAAGTGCGTTCAATTAAAATCTATAGTACAATTTGGTAGTTGTGTTAGCTGCTAAATTTAATCCTAAGGAGGTTAAAGGCATTTATCTCTTCAGTGGCCCACAGGACCTTTAAAAAAGCATGTGTTAGGGTTCAAAACCTTGCGAGAATTGCAGCTTTTACATTTAGCCCAATTCCAGACACTCTGAATCTAACACTGTATCCCAGGGTTGGGGTCGATTCATGATGCCTTGATGGAGCGATGCATCACATATGACACTTCAGTTTAAACAGTATTACAGCATGACACTAACTAAAACTAACACATGGTATAATCTTGAAACACAAACTATATTTTTTCTACAGTTTAAGCTCTCAGTGGAATTGACCCCAACCTTGCCTAAGCCATCAGTCTTTGTAAGTACACACTGTTTCCAGGGAAATGAAAAAAGATATATTTGAATGACCTTAGCCAACTCTTATACAATGTTGTTTGTAGGTCTTGAGGCTGTCTGTTTTGTAAAAGAAAAACCGGGAAAACATTTTTACCCATTGACTTTCTATGCTGTTGTTTCTGTATAAATGTTCTAATGTTCAGTGCATGTTGTAACTTTGGCGTTGTGACTGGTTGTGATTCACACAGAGCCAGTACTTGTCATGTAAAAAAAAAGTGTCTCAATGTCCCAAGATATTTCTATTTCTTAAGAAAAGGCAACATTTCCCTTGAATGACTAAAGATTAAATAAATCAAATCACTTTACATTTTGATTTAAATGTTGTTGGCTTTCATTTCAATGGTGAATTTACATTCTTACAGGACACATTTAGAGTGCAGTGCTTTCCTTTTATCAGATGCATTACAATTAAGAATTAAGAATATCGGTCGCTTAATACAAATCCCTGTAAATATGCACAAGATGAAGGCTATCAGAAAGAATGTTGAGCAGGAGCAAGCTTTTCTCCCCCCCACATGTCTCCAGATACCTGGGCATTGAGGGTTTCCCACTGCCTAATACTGAAGAGACCACCTTCTGCAAAGGGGTGGGCTCTCAATTTAGCCAAGCAAGAAACAATGTTGCCATCTAGTGGTAGCCTTAACTGCTGTCAATCAGATCCAAGAAACAGGGTCCAAATCATGGATCTGGACAGAAATAAACTGATTTGTATTCCTGGAATAAATGGACAGCTGTCCATCTCCTTTAAATACTGTTTCCACAGGGGTGTATGGCTCACCACTGCGCTGGTACCCTTTTTTACCTTTAAGGTTAACTGAAACTGGATACTGTGTCCAGTTTTACACCAATATAAGAGTAAAAAACACCCAGACTTACATGTTGTGCACACACAAATTACTCCAGAAAAGGAAAGTGAAAATACTTGAGAACAGATCAAAGGCAGCCATAGAGTGTACTTTAATAAAAGAAAAAACTGGCAAGATAGCGGTTTGCATTTGCACAGTGTTGTAATTTTCATTATAAATCCATCCTCTCATGCAAACCTTCATAACAAAACCGTAAATGCTTCTGTTGTTGAAGAGGCAACAAAGCTTTGCTGAAGATCATACCATTTAAACCGAATATCTAGAAGCTGGTAAGAAATGTTTGCTCATTAATGGCAAATCCTGCTAATTGAAAGCATCCAGTCAGCAGTCAACACTCAATCTACATTATAACTTTCAGGTGTCACCACAAGATTTCAAGCAAGCACTGAAACGTGACGTAAACTGCTGCTGTTAAACACTCAACAGGGCAACATTCCTGGCAGCATTAGGCACCCTCTTTTCTACTGCCTTAGTATAGAGCTTTAAACACAATAGTTTTTAGCACCTTAGTAAACAAATGCTTCTTTAGTTAAAATGTTGCTGTGATATATAGTATAAGCCAGCAGCCAAATCATTTATTGATTTTTTTACATTTTTTTTACTTTTGTTCTTTGAGTTTTCCAATTACCTGCCCACTGTGGTGTGAAAGGAGACTCTAAGCAACACGTGCAGAAATCCATCACACTGAAAACTATTGCTGCTTTAGTTGATGTGATGTAAATATCACTGCATGGTAATTAAGTGAACATAGATTTTTCCTATTTTTGCAACTTAATTACCAATACCACATTTCTCTTCACTTTTCAGTGAAAATAATAATGGAAGAAATGCATTGAAATATAATGAAAAGCTCAACAAAATGCTCTGATTTATATATTCTATAAATTAGTAAACGCATAAAGGCAAAATACTCTGGTATGATATGCTAAACACAGCTTAAAAGTGTCACGCAGCTTTCGAAAACAAAAACATGATACAACACACAATAAGGAGCCTTTCTGGGGCCAGCAGCGAGTATGGATACAGAGATTTATAGTGCATAAACATAATCTCCTTACTCATTTATTTTGATCCTCACGGCTCAAACAAGCAGCTGTTGAACTGGGGACAAATCTTACCTTGCATCCATTCATTTGACTAATTCTAAATTATTTCCCGATATGCAAACTATGCTGCCATACTTGTGGCTTATTTACTGTCTGCACACCCGAGGCTGAGGGTTATTAACATATATTCTCAAATCTTATCGATATGGAATCAACTGTCTCTTAAGTAATGATAGTTTGCTTTATGAGCATGACACATTAAATGGTTTAAATACAAACCTTTAAATTAATGAAAGCTCTTAATACAAGCTCTGGATCCCTCACTTCCATTTTCTTCCAGCAGTTAGTATCATACATAATTAGTCTCTTCACAGTTAAGCTGTCAGATATGTGTAGAATAATGCTGATTATGAGTTTATTGGTATGCGTCTGTGTTTATGAATGGGTTCTTTGAGCCTACGGCAAAGGAGACTCACATGTACAGTACAGCAAGTGTAAGCTCTGGACTTCAAGAGACCTTATCTCACTGTAATGCCGTCTGGCACGTTTCTTTCTTCAGCGTTGGTAATAAATAAAAAAAAAGAGTGCATTCACAGCTTACAACAAAAGTGGTTTCATTAGGAGATCATGGTATTTTCTCTAATCCAGAAGGGGACTTTAAATAAGACAGGCATGAGGGCTGCGGCTCTCAGAGGGAGGGAAACACCAGCTTGGCTGTCTGCACCGTAGTTAGACGGTAGAAAACATTTTCATAACGAACAGCAGTGAAGTCTGAGCCACCGTAGGCCACTCAGACTTCCGTCACCTCAGTCAAAAGATCATCAGCACTAAAACAGGGCAAAATGATTTTTCTAATGGACCTTCAGATGATGCTGCTGGATGTGATTTACTTCATCCTGCGCAACTCTGTCCGGGTCATCATGCGTCCGCGCACCAAGCCCATCGATGGAGAGCTGGTGCTTATCACCGGAGCTGGAGGAGGCCTGGGTCGACTCTTTGCTCAGGAATTCACCAAGCACGGGGCGGAAGTGGTGCTGTGGGACCTAAACAGCAGCTCAAACGAGCAGACAGCCAAGCTGGTGCGGGATATGGGGGGAAAAGCGCACACATACACAGTGGACGTGACCAACCGGGATGACGTGTATCGCAACGCAGACTGTGTACGAAAGGATCTGGGCCGGGACGTTACAATGCTGGTGAACAATGCCGGAGTGGTGGCCGGGCATCGTATTCTAGACTGTCCTGATGAACTGATGGAGAGGACCATGAAAGTCAACTGCCATGCACTGTTCTGGGTGAGAATCTGTTAATGTCGCACGTAAACTACACACTAACAGCAATGAGGATTTATGCAGGTGCAAAACTTGTGGGTCCAGAATAACTGCTTTTATAAATATGGAAAGTGGGGAAATGAGAGTAAGATCAAGAGCATCAATTTAAATCTGACATCTGAACAGCAGAGAGGTGTATTAAATGGGTTCTTGACTACGAGAGCTTCAGAATTTTATAAAGGACAAATTTGAGGTTATTTGTATGTAGCAGATTTTATTCAACAAATCTGGAGAGCTCAAACTCAAACTTGAGAATTTCAGTGTATTATCCTCCATTATCAGCCACATACAGAGTGCATTCATATCCACAGCCTGTGTGAGACATGGCATGTGAAATGTATTGCATCAAAAGTATTATCCTCCCCAAACTATGAACTGAGGAACTCTCATATCAATCCTATTAATAAAAGCTACTTGGACTGGATAAGCCGAGCAATATACAAATCCTATTTAGGTCCTATGGGCGCTGCATAGTTTGTTGCTCCATATTAATATGCCGTCTAACAATGCATGTCTGTTCCTGTGTGTGTGCCTCAGACGGTGAAAGCTTTCCTCCCTCAGATGAAGGCCCAGAATCATGGACACATTGTAACCATCGCCAGCGTCCTCGGCCTCTTCAGCACAGCTTGTGTGGAGGTGAATGGCAGAGGCCCGGCCATGTGATGGCACTACCATGGTCCTTTTGCATTTTCCACTTCCTAAGCCTTGGCCTAAGTGGACATGTACCCTATAATTACCTGTGAAGACTGATCAGTGCTTCTTCTTTGTGGCAGGATTATTGTGCCAGTAAGTTTGCAGCAGTGGGCTTCCACGAGTCCCTGGCCCATGAGCTGCTGTCGGAAGAGGTTGAAGGTGTGAAGACAACTTTAGTGTGCCCCTACATTGTGGACACGGGAATGTTTGAGGGCTGCAAGATTCGGTATGTCTAAAAATGTAACCGCATAACTTGCTAGCGTTGACCAGTTTTAGATGACACACTGAAGAGAACTGAATTAAACGAATCCCTCTTTTACTAACGACAGAACAGAGTCATCGGTCTTTGGGATTTGTTTACACTTTTTAACTGAAACAAATTTCTTATCTAAGGCTTAAAAATGTTCAGACACAAAGATGTTTTTGGACAGAGGTAGGACGCTCACACAGGTAATGCACGTGTCCTTCCGATTCTCCTGGTAAAACCAGGTGGGAATTGTTGGGTTTCTGTAGTTAACTTCAGAGTAGGGTCTGACCTGCTCTGTTTGGAAAGCGCTGTGAGACAACTGTTGTTGTGATGTGGCGCTATATAAATAAAATTGAATTGAATTGAATTGAAAACCTGCTTCCTGTGTGCTGGTGTGACTGTCAGGGAGGAAGTGGAGCTGGTCCTACCCCCTCTGGAGCCCCAGTACTGTGTTGAACAAGCAATGAACGCGATCCTAATCGATCAACCATTAGTGTGCATCCCCCGCCTCACCTACCTGCCTTTCCTGTCCAGAGCGTGAGTACCTACAAACATGCCTGTTATCCACATTCTATTAACGCTGCATTTTTATACCTCACCCGCCCATATTTTCTCCTTTCAGGTTGTTGCCATGGGAATCTAATGTGGCTACCTATCGCTTCATGGGTTCAGACAAGTGCATGTACCCCTTCATTGAGAACCAGCAGCAAAAAGTGATCAGTAGCACCGTAATGGTGGCATAACCTTACTGTGGCACGCTGACGGGAATCCAGGCCCAAAAAATGAAAACACGCATAATTTAAAGGGTTTGTTATATATGAAAAGGATTTTTTTTCTAAATATATGGGGAAAAGTATGAGGCATTGCCCAGTAGCAGCCATGACTGAGTCAATGGCCGGATATCAGACAGGGATTTTAAATTTTGGGGATGATGTTTCAGAAGTCTGTACTGGATGACTACTCAGCCAAGCAGCCATCAGCACCGAAGAGAGACTACTGAAATGTTCTCATGAAGTTTAAAGTCTCCCCGCCCCCCCTCAAACAACGGCACCACAAACTTAAAAAATGGCCCGACACTGTTTAAATCTCGGACTGATCAAAATGGGAACCTGTCTTTACCTGTAACTAAACAATGGCATTGATTTTTTTGTGCTTTATTAAAAACACGATATAAAAGAAACTCTGACAGCTTCCTTTGTTTTGTTTTTTGCATAATCACATCCTCCAAGGCACTTTTTCGTCCCACTCATCATTCCTGAAAATGACTCAAGTAGCAGTAAGTTCTGAATGACATCCCCTTTGCTCCAGCTAAAAGATGATGCATGCAGGCCTCAGCGCACATGTACAGTGTTTGCAGTTCAGAAGAAAGGGGCTCATAATTTTAAATCTTAGAATGCTGCCGGGATGCAGTGAAGCCCAATCCCTCCCCAAAGAAATTTACATGCAAAGAGGCAAGCATGACTAATGCAGAAGTGTATCCTGCAGCGGGTTGGGTTGTAAATATCTCCAGTCACACACACATCTCTGCATGAAGGAGCTTTTGCATTTTACTGGTTTTAACTAAATGTAGGCCAAATAAGATACAAAACAAATGAATTGAATGCAGTATTAAAACATCAAAAAATAGCATTCTTATTTTGAAGAGATATAAATTAGTGCTAGGTTAGGACTTCAAATGGCTTGTGTATATACGTGGGATATATGCACTCTTTTAGAGATTCACAAAATTTGGCAGTTTAGGAAACCAAAATATGTGGAAAATCTGTGATTACTACAGAGAAGTCTCTCATAGCAGTATAAAAATACATTTTTCTGTTTTCTATTGGTCAGGAAAAATTACTACTAAAGATGTGAGGGTCAGAGATCTATGGCAGTACAGTATCAGCACAAGATAGTTTCTGAGATGGCTTTGACTTTCCATATCTTTACAAACGTCACGCACAGATCAATATCAAGGCATTACATACGTTTGAGACTCTTTTCCCTTCATCTTCTTTGCAGTTATAAAGGTTGCTTTTCTTCTCATGCCTTTAATGCTTGCAATTTGGCCTTTCCCCTCTCTAGAAAGCCCTTCATATAGTTTACAAAAACATTCAACTGAACAAATGTTTTGAATAATCTGAGTTATTCTTCATAGCCCCACACTCCCAGTAGACCAGTAGGGAAAACGAGACGGTGTGATCATTTCCTTCCCCTGCTTTTGAACCTGGTACTGGGACAGACATATAAAGTGACGTAATGCTACAGAATTTGCATTATGAAGCAAATTGAAGCTGCCCCCTAGCACCAGTCAAAATGTAGTAACAGTTTGCCTGGATTGGAAAGAGTGACATAAACTCACTATGTAGTGAATCACTTCAGATTGCTTCTATAATGCAGTCATATGAATAATGTCAGATAAGAGAAAGAAAAACAGAGAGAGCAGAGTTTTGCGCCTTTAAGCACCAAAGTTTAATCACCATAAGGAGGGGCGAGGGCTGCTGACATGAGGAAGGAAGAGTTTCCTGCCATTAACAGCTGTGACAACATCACATTACTTTAGGAAAATCAACAGAGGTTTGCAAGCTGCACCCTAGACAAAGATGAGGCCAAAACCTTAAGATCTCTTCTTAATGGTCTACCTAAGCAGGGGATAAAACAGAACACTTAAAAACAAGGTACGGTGGGTCTCACATAGAGGAAACATGTTCTAACCAAACGAAAACAGAGTTCACAGTAAATCACTTCATTTTTCTTTACTAAGTACAACCCCAAACTTGTCTAGGATGCAGCTACATTTTCTACAAAGCAAAATAAAAATAAATAATGTGTACAATTAAACAATATCAAGGAGAGGATACTATTTTCCTATCAATCTTGTTTAACTGTGAACATTTCCTAACAATGAATTTGAACAGTGATGGTTCAGAGCCTACAGTGACCAAAGCGTCTTACAGTCCTCTAAAACAGACCAAGAACACAGTGTATTGAGTTTTTTTCTTTTTCTAGTGCTTTTAGAGACAATCAAACCAGATCTAAGCTGTACCATCCAGCGTCTGTGCCAATGTGCTTGAGTTAGCCTGTTTGAGGTGTGAGTCGCCTTCAACTTCCTGCTTGCCACATCTGAGGAAAACAAAGTCACATTTAGTGTCACTGGGGTTGATCACAGCTCCAAGAGTCCATGTTTGTTCCAACATGCTGTCTGAGAATCTAAATGTGCTAAATAATTCCATTTTAAAAAGCTTAATAACGCTAAACATGTTTCACGTGCAAAAAAAATAAGGCATGTAGATTGGAGTTAAGTTTAAACAGTCTAAATGTTTGTTTTAATCCAGCCAGAATTTCTTCTGAAGAAGGTCTTTGGCAAAACACACTGAAAGCCTCCTGAAGGTCTTTCTATGATTTTCTTCAGATATTGGCTGCTTTGTCAGACACTCGTTTCACTTAATTAGTGAAGCAAAGATTTTTTTTTTAAAAAGGGCAAGGGTGTTATATCTGAAGAAAATCTTTTGCCAGATGCACTGTCTTCCCTTTGCTTTTGGCAAAAGGGACAGAAATCAGAGAGGGCCCAAGACTTTTGTACAGAACTGACAGGCACTTCCAATAAAACAATAAGCAGTTGTTTCTTTTAAACTGGGGAATATCTTGTGGAAAGACAGCACTTGATTTATTTATGAAGCATCTGAACTGGTTTATTGTTTAAGAGAGAGAGGAAAAAAACAATTGGATTGTAAATCACTAAAAGTGTCTGGTGCTTCCTCACAGCTTACCCAGCTGGTCCATTTCCTGTCCTTTCATTTAACTGCTGGTCCAACTCGGAGAGTAACTTCAGTATATTCAGCGCGGCCTACAAAAGGTGGGAACAGAACGTTCTATTCAGATGTGCGTGTTAGGAAAACCTTTATGAACCTCTGTGAGACAACTCTCAGGACTCCCTCGTATTAAATCTCCAGAAATAATGTAAAAGAGGCATATTTTAGTAATGAGGTGGAACCTGCACACGCAGGTGCTCCTAAATCAAGCATCAGTCTTTACTTCCAACTGCACTTCCACTGCACAGAAAGTGTTTTTTGGGATTTTGAAGCTTGCATAACAGTCTAGAAAATGATGTTGCTCTGTTATTGTATCAGAAAATGTTCACGACTGAGAAGGGTCATAGAAAGTTCTGCAACAAACACATATCCCTGAGTCAGGACAAATCCAGTCAACACTTCAAATAAGATGTAACAAAATATCTTCTCCTCACTGTCCTTGTAAAACAACCATTTACTACAGCTGGATTTTCTGCTGTTATTAACTTTTTTCTTCCGTTTTTGGTGTCAGGTGGCAAAACAGAAGTAAAGCTCATCCTAAGTAGTCCATGAAGATGACATATTAACATGAAGATGATTTGGTGTTTCTCAGCAGCACGTGGAAACTTTGCCTTCCACGTTTAAGTCTCACGATGCCATCTCCAAATGTTTTTCTGCATTCTGCTTCTGTATGAAATTTTATTAATGTTTTTTTAATTGTGTAGCTAACAAGCAGGGTTCTTCAACCCATCATGATTGACAAATGTGATCATTTAACCCTAATGCCTTGAGTGAATCTATTCTACTGTAATTAGTAGAAAGTATGAATGAATATGTGAACAAAGTAAGTCATTTGCAATTTCCATTTCTTCAGAGACTGAGAAATGAAATATTTTAGTGGCTTGTTTTTAGTCTTACAGAAAGCCCTCAGGCTGCAAGGGGATTCTGAATGGGGTTAACGAAAAAAACAAAACAAAAAAAATATTGGCTAAATACTCACCATGTCGTGACAGGATTCTACATCTTTTCCCATCCCATGACTGATGAGCGGTGGCTGGGAGGAGCAGTTGATCAGCGAAACAAACTCATTCTTGTTGTTTTTGGGGAAATCCTTGTACTCCACCTGCAGGTAAAGCACATTCACACATTCGTTTTACTTATAAACAAATGCTTGAATGCATCTGTCCTAAAAGAAATCCATGACTCGCTTACCTGAAGACCCTGCACAGACGCAAGGTAGCTGAGCTGCTCCGAGGGTCTGGTGAGTGGTCCGTGGGGCAACTGGTTCAGGTTATTTTTGTTCTTTAGGATAGTTTCAGCAGTCAAGGAGGTCCCAGCATAAAGCAGCTCGTTGGCGATCATGGCAGTGATTGTGGCCTTGCCCGGATTGGACGTGGCTCGATTGTAGTCCTTGGCCTGGGATCCCGGATAGGCTCCAACTGCTTGAGCCACCTCTGGAACCATGGGGAGGATACCTGCAGGCAGCTGCTGGTGGCTCAGATAAGGCAAACGGAACTCCTCCTCCTTGGAGCCTGTTGACAAATCAACGCTTGTAAGAGCATATTTTCAATATAGTCATATAGAAGAGACCATTTCAACCGAGATTTACCCAATGCCACCTCCTCCACAGAGCCGGGTTCAAAGAAGGTCACTTTGCGTCCATCACCGGGTTTTTTCACTGGGGTCTGGGCAAAAATAATAAGTGGATCAGCTTTTCATATGCGGGCTGGCACAGCTTTCACTTGGTTGACAATCGTTCACTGGTACCTTTTCATCAGTTTTGAGTGCCGGTTTTGGAGGCTGAGGTTGAGGCACTTTATATCCTAAGAGTTCCAACATTTTCTCAGCTGCATTCCTCTTGGCCACCTTCTTACTGGGTCCCATTCCCTCTGCAGACTGGCCACACACCGTCACCTGAACCACAAACCACAGGAGAAGAGAGATGACACAATAAATCAATTGTTAAAAAAGCCAAGACAGAGAAACACAATGCACATTGTGTAGGTCTCACTGTATGCACTCACCTGCATGACAAACTCCCTGCGCCGGGGCAAACCTCTTTCTGTCACCATGCTGTACTCCGGCTCCTTCTCCTTTTTGGCCTGCTGGATCTGAGCCAAGCGGCTGATGGGATTCATCCCCTGGCCATACTCTGGGCTGGTCTGCAGCTGTTGGCAATGATGGATTAATCTTTAATTAAGGGTATTAAATTCTGCTCTGACTAATCCCAACTCCAGTTCAAACGTTCCATTACCTTGATGATAGATTTGGTTTTCTTTTTGATGCGTGGCAGGGTCTTTTCCACACTGGGTATATGGGGAAGCCTCTTCAACTCACCCAGCACGGCTGCTGCTGCCAGCTTCTTAGCAATCTTTTTACTTTTCCCCTCCCCCTCTCCCGTAAACTCCCCAACAGTAACACAAACAACAAAACTCTTCATGTGTGGAGGTCCGTCTTCCTTTAGAACCTGGAAACAAAAAAAAAACAATGAAAACCTCCTTGTGTGTCAGATCAAAACATTAAATCCAAGGTTGAAAAAAGTTAATGGATGGCTATTCCTAAATATGAATTTCCTAGATGGTATAACAAGAGCATCCAAACCTCAAAGTTGACTGGTAGGTTTCGTTTTAGAGCAATTTCAAAAACTTGACTGATTTCTGATTTGTTCAGGTTCTCCTCCTCAGGCTCTCCATTCATCTGTTCAAGACAATGCTTGAAATTAAACAAAGTCTCTAAAAATGATATAAACAATTCTAGCAGTATTGCTTGATTTAATGTTTTTTTTCTTACCACTGGCAGCTGTTGCAGTATGGGCTCCTTCTGCAGAATTTTCAGGGCTTTGGCAGCAGCGTCATGTTTGGCCAGCTGGCGTGTGCGGCCCTTCCCGGTAAACTGCTGGCCTCCGATGGAGAGCTCCATGTGGTATAGCATTGGTCCTACTGGAGGAAATGGATAGTAGTACCTGGAGACATGACAACGTTAACTTTTTTCTCTTAAACATAATGTGCAAAGCAGAAAAAGTGCTTTTTTTTTTCAACATTTCCAAGCTCACTGTTGCATAGAGCGCTGGTAAGGCCCAGGTGCCCGGACATTGTAATTAAAGCTCGGTGGTCTCATCACCGGGTATGGGTCGATGGGTTTATACATTGGCTTTTTACCAAGCTTCATACAAAGTGCATTTAACTCCATGGTATGTGTGATGCCATCCGCTGTAAGTGAAACATAAAATTGTTTTATAATCAGTTCTTTACTTCATGCTGTGCTGAGTTAGAAAATAACTGATAGAACCAGTGGGAGCTGCCCACCTGGGTTCTGCCTGCCTGTGTTTCGGAGCATCCTGATGGTGGGTTTGGGGAGTGTCGTCTCAGCGAGCGCAGACGCAGCAGCGGAATGCTGGGCTTTCTTGATACTGGTCCCCTCAGCCTCCCAGTGCTGATCTCCAAGTGTGAGCCTCACTGAGAAAATCTATGACAGATTATCACTCATGAGGATAAACTGTACACCACATCAGGTCAAGAACATGAATAACACCCCGTGTACCTTGGAGTGAGCTGGTCCTTGCTCAGAAAGCAGCTTATATTCAGGCTGGATCTTGTTGAAACGGGCTAACTCATTCACCAAACACATGGGGGTCTTCTCTTTAGGGTTTGCCATGTTAGGTACTGAAAGGAGACAAAAGGCTCACTATAGACAACCATAACAAATGGTCATAAATTCTATTAGCGAAGACAGCACCAAGAACCAAAGATCAGATCTCATGATGTAATAAATATAGTAAGCTAAAAGATAATAAACTGTAAGGGGTTTTAAAATACAGATGTGCACCTATTGACCATGTGACGCTGTTCACAAAAAGAACAACTAGCAAGCTCACCTATGGTGGTATTATAGGGGGTAGCTGAGCCTGCTGGGAGGGCGGAGCTCCTGACAGGCTGGCTGGCACTCTCAGATGGTAGGGCACCTGTTGCACAAGGGATGCTGTAGCCTGGCTGCGGCTGCCCCATCTGCAGGGGGGCAGAGACAGCCGGCATGGAGCTGCCTGGGCACTGAAACTGGAGCTGAGACATCCTTGTTGGTCCAGCTTCGTAGGCTGAAGTCAAGCAAAGAAATGTACAGTGTGGGAGGGATTGTTGGATTGAAGAGGTCTGGATTTCAGCTCTGCCTGGAATGAGAGGGTGTTAGAGAGACGTTGAAAGCCATACATTGACCTATTCATATATTGAGAAAAACACCGCCTCGGCCACTAATAATTTTCAAGGAGACAAAAAGACAGGCAATAAAGCACCCACAAAAGAAATATTTGGAATATGCATTTCTAAAAAAAACTATTTACATCTGACCTAACTGTTTTTTATTTGAATGCCAGGAAATGAACCAAACACTACAGCAATGCAACTACCCTGTGTTGAGGCTAAAGTTTGCAGAACTGTATTAGATTGTATCAATTTCTATTCCTTTATTAGTGATGTAACTATGGCTGACAGGGCTTAAGATCTACGACGCTAAAGGCCATGATTCACTAACTGTCACAATAAATCTATTCAGTAATGTCTCATTTCTGAAGGGGTCATTAGACTTTGTAAAACAGCTAAATTGTGCATGACTGCAATGTCAAAAGATTAATTTGTGTCAACTTTAAAGTTAATATGGTTTCCGAGCCAAGGTATCCTCCATCTGTGCTCCATACTGGCAATGACAGGAAAATCATAATAGTTTGTGTTGTTAAATTCCTTCTTCTAAAATTCCTTCTTCTAAATTGTGGTAGTTTGTTTAAAAAAAGAACACAGAAGGTGTTGGCATGTTCACAATAGGTTCCCTTCATCAAGATATGATGACAATCCCAATCACTTGCCATGTATATATTTCTGAGATTATCAATCTGAACTACTGTGTCTTAGTTTTCAAAATCATGCCAGCAAAATGCCACAAATGGTAGAAAATAACCCCACCAGATCCTCTCTATTTGTAAGGTCAAAGACACAAAGCTGTAATGTTTTCATGACTGCCACACATCCGCAAGCTAACTATTTGAACACATTAAGGATGACTCAAGAAAGCACATCGTTTCTTTCCACAACTGTGGATCAGCGCCTGATTTGTGGTATTTGAACAGCCATTTTGTAATAAGAGGAGCTCATGCATTACAGCCCAACAGCATCACCTCTCATGCAGCAGTTAGCAGACTGTCCTTCCTGACAGCAAACAATCTGGTGTGGATGCTCTTTATGGCCTGCCAAAAACTGCAGCCATCTTGTACCTGACATATTTTAGCATTATGGCCAAATGACATGCATCAGAGTGCATTTTAACCACACTGCATTTGCAGCCACAACCTACTTCCTTTTGTTATGCTTCTGTTACTTTTCCTGCCAATGCACCAGTCAAACTGTTTTCAGCAGAGAAGCTTTTTACCAACTCCTGACCACATCAATCTCTTTCTGCCTGTCTGCTAACTTGTTAGTTTTTACCATGTAGTGTTTCTTTTTTAACTGCTCACTGGTTCAAAACGTTCAGTTGTTATTACAAGATTCCATTTGTTGTACTTTTTTGTTTATAAAAATAATAAGGAGAAAATATAACAATGCTGATGTCTACTTGTACTGACCATGTGGGGAAATAAAGATAACCTGTGATTAAAAACCTTAGTCCAATCAGGTAAGCATGTATTGTATAACAACACGCTTACCTGCTGATAACAAAATTGTGTTTTATCATTCTTCTTCATCTTATAATTATTATTATCGTAACGGTGCTTAGTTTGCTGTCTTTGTGGGTGTTAAGGGTCCCTTTCTAAAAATCTCACAGTTGGAATGCATCGGCTTTTCACACAGCTCGAGGTCCTGGTTGTTAAATGTTTGCTCTTTAGTTGTTAGTAAAATGTGAAGTGGAGCTTCTTGTTTTTTTATTCAAACATTACCCGGTATACCAGTAACTCAGCCGACTCCAACGTTGTTATTAATCATAAAAAAAATACTGGAAATATTTTATATACCACTAAATGTTCTATATTACAATCTAATTTGACCCATGTGCAGGGGAGCCCAATATCAGTTTAAAAAAGCCAGCAGTTTCTGATTAAATCAGGCCGCCGGCTGCCAAAACGCACAAACTGTGAGGACGACGTTAGCCAACTAGCTTTGCCACTACACTGCCGGACATGCAACCCCCTTTGCAAAAATGAAGATATGAGCCAACACTGTTAAAAGTGCATCATCATAAAGATAAACACACGTCTTATTATAGGAAATGCCTGACACTCGTTTTCTGGGCTGGCCCAAGTCACGTCTAATGTTATTTTCCCTGCGAGTCTGAGAGCAGCCTGTTAAATCGTTAGCTCGCTAGCTAACCCTAAGATATCTGCACAAAGTAAGCCTCACCTCGTCGCTCCTTTGTTCAGTTATTAGTTACTCCATAAGATATGTTGGGTTAATGTCGCCTGCTTTTGTCAGCGGCCTATTTCAAGACACGGTGTAACTTAATTTATATCAAAATGCGGGCGGTGAGGAGGTGAACATTGGGAGGACAGGGCAAACACTAAAGAGAATGGCACTGTCTGGACCTCTTCAGGAAGTGACGACATCAGACAGGAAGTACTTCCAATATGAATTCCAAAGTACACAACCTGCTGATGTTACAGTTTGTTTTACTCCGTCTTTATTTTCAACTGTATCTTTTTTAATGTGAACATTGATATAAAATGTAACAAATGCAAAATAAACTCACTTTATGGTGATGATGCGGTTTAAAAACAACACATGGTCTTAACATGGTATTCAGAATTTTATTTTGGCTGCATCATTAAGTAAAAAAGAAAAAGGGAAATCACTGGTTTAGCACAACTATGCAAATGGTGTAAAAAAACAAAACAAAACACACACACAACCACACACACACAACTATCAAGCTCATTACATAAGCTAATAAATATAAAATTGATCATGATTCACTATAAAATATTGCTTATATGGTCTACCCCTCTAATTTCCACAATTTGAGGATAAGAACAGTTTCTGAGGTGAATAGTTTTGTACCACAGATTAGACGTTGTAAGCCTGGCAGATGTTCAGGGAATCTCTCAACATCAAGTCACGCAAACGCCACAATGCGTCCACCATGGTGGTGTGGGCTCCTTTGCTCTTCAGCCAGTGAGCCGGAAGCCGACTTTCTTGCTCTTTGGTCAGATGAGCATCGCGCCTTTGAGCTGTTATGGGAAAAATATTTTTTACTCAAAAGTAAATTATATTCACTGAGAGCAGAAGTGTGCATCTCTGCTTTAAGGAAAGACAAACACAACAATTGTAAGTCACTCTCATACAATCTTTGAAATTCAAGTAAACACAATACTTATATTCAGACATGCACCAATTGGGGAGTCACAAACAAGTGCTTCACATTACCTTTCAGCGTTTGGTCCCACTTGCTGACCGTGCCAGATTCTGAATTTAATCCTTCAATGTACTTCAGGTAAGCCTCAGAGTGGAGGACCCTCTGTGTCTTTGGTGGTGGTGCCACGAACATGGGAGTGGTGGGCTGCAAATGAGAGGGCTGGCCTACCTGGGCCTGTCCGGGATATGGTGGAGGAGCATGTTGACCTGGACTGAACATTCCAGGCTAACAATAGAACAGTTAACAATAATTTTGAGTCCATCTTTAATTAAGAAAGATAGATTTAAATAAAAAAAGAAAAACTACCCCATCATTTTTTTTACATTAAAACATGCAAATTGAAATGAAAAAAAAAAAAAGATTACACAAACCTGTTGTATAAAGTTTCCTTGTACAGGACTTCCTGCCATTCCATTGATACCAGCACCCATCATACCTGTTAAGGAAAACATTTAGCTTGTGTTTATTTACGGAACAGCTAAAGTCAACTCATGCTAGTTTGCTGTATGTGAAGACTTACAAGACCGCAAGATGTTAGACAATGAATATCAGTTGAATGTTAGTGATTTTTACCAGCATTCCATGTGTGATTGTTTATACTGCCTTTTTTTATGGAGAATGTGAGTACACTTGGCTAGATTGTGTGAGACCATAGAGCTTTGACTGCTCGACAGGAGCTCAGGCTGCTCAGCCCGTGGACCAGGTAAACCCCTCAAGCAGGAGAGACACGACTGGATGTGACCGAGCAGGTGTGGCTAGGACAGTGGCCCTTACCCTGATGAGGCATGCCAGGGTATCCAGGCATACCTTGCTGGAGATGTTGAGGATGCAGGTGAGGACCACCTACAGGGTGAGGTGGCATTGGGGCCACACTCAGCAAACCCTCATGGGGGCCCTGCATTGGCATGTAAGGTGGGCCGTAAGCTCCCATCATGCCTTCAGGAAGAGGTCGAGGAGAGCACAACATATCCATGCATAAGTTCCATGCAGCTGACTCTAAAAAGAACATGCACTACGATAATATACATCGGCCCCTTTCACACATGCACCTTAAACGTTCATGCTGCAGCCATGTCCTGTGTTTCAGTTAGTTTTACATCAGTTTTACAGTCAGGCATCTGTGAATGTGTGACGACAATCAATTTCAGCCCAGTCCTGTGCCATATTTAAAAAAATATGATCGCAATACGCTTCAAAGATTTGCATTTACAGCAAGAACATCCCATCAACTCCAATATTCTCAATCAATTCAAATAATTTTATAATAATAATTATAATAATAATTTTCATAATAACTTTTAATTTATCACACCTCCATAAAAAGTTTTTTTTTTTTAAATTAGTATAAGCCCTTTCCATCTAAAGCACATTTAAATAGATCTAAGGAAAAAAATAATTCAAAAGGGGTTTAACAAACTCCCATATGGATATATTCTTTCATAATCTGGTAGAAAAGTACCAAAAATGTCTAAACCATTTTTTACTTATATCTCAAATGAATCTATCTAAAATGGCACAAATCAAATAAAGCTGCACCTGATATAGGATTAAGAAATGTTGACTTTAATTGTAAGTAGCTTTTAAATAGAGTTTTGCCTTTTTCTTGCCAGCTCTGGTGACAAAATCAAAACTAACCCCATGTACTGCATCTAGTTGGTGGACATGACTAAGTTTGGCTATAAACGGAAACCCTCCCTGAATGTCAAGACCTGCTTAAATTCAAGGTTCAGTGTGCGAAAGGGGCAAACAATATAAATGACTGAAAATGTTAGCAAATTAAGCATGTAAGTTAAATGAAAACTGAAGGGAAAAGAAGAAGCATTCAATGTTAAAAATGAATCATGCAGTCAATGTCGTGCAATAACAGGTATGAAGCTAATGATGATGAAACTATTAACTTAAAATGTCAAACAGGAGCAAAAGAAAAAAAAATGATTTCACATTGTGGCTTTAAAATAAACATGTTTAAAATGGTTAGAAACTGAGAGGATTATGGTTTTTAAACAGTCCAGCCTCATTTCTCTGCTCTCTTGATGTCAAATGCTCGTGCTGTCACTGAAAGGGGTTACCTGACACAGGTGTCATGGTCTGGTTTATCATTCCCATAGTGCTAGGCGAAGGCACCACCCCCATCAGTGCCCCTACAGGGGTACCTGCTCTCGGGGAAGCTTGCTTCTGGGGTGGTCTATCCCGTTCCTGCTGTTCCACTATTTTGGCTGCACGCTCTGAAAAAACAAAGCCATTCTTGAAATGACATCAGCTCCGTTCACACAAAAACATATTTTGTTCTGGCGGAGTCCTTAATATTTCACCTTCATACTCTGCTTTCTTAGAAGCTTCGAGGTTCCTCCATTCTGTGCCGACAAGTCGACTCAGCTCGCCAAAAGAGAAGTCAGGGTGTCGAGCTTTGATGACCGCTCTCATTTCACTGCTGAACAGGATGTAGCCACTCATGTTGATCTTCCTCTTGGCTCCTTCCTTCTTTGATAAGCCCTTAATCTTAGGAGTTGCCTTCATAAAAAAAAACAAGAAGAAAAAAGTGAATAAATAAACAGAAGTGAATATAGTGAATATTTAGCAGAAGTGCTTGAATCCTGCAGTAAGATGTATGAATACCTGTGAGGGTATGTACGGCATGATGTCCATGTCGTTAGTAAGAGGGGTTTGCATCTGAGGCAAAGAAGGTGTCGCTGGAGCCTCTTCATCATCATCCATATCCTCCATATCATCATCTGCATCCTCTATATCTGCCAGTTTAACTTCAAGCTCATCTATCTTTTTGTCCAAAAAGGGTGAAGCCTCCTTCTGTGGCACAATCAATTTTCTAACAAAGAAAATATCAAATACATAAAACTCAGACTGGGATGGAAAAAGGTTCACTTAGAAAATAAAGTGCGGAGTCAGTTTAACTCACAAACCTGAAATAAAATATCTCATCCTCCACCACTTTGGAAGAATATGAGAATCGTTTCAGACCCTTGAACTTTTTCATTTGCTTCTCTGTCTCAATGTAGCGGCTCTCGCACAGCAGGACATCGTCCTCTGAATGCTCTGTGGGTCTGCATGACACGTAATCCTTAAAGGAGGACACTGTGCATTTCCCTGGAGGGCAGATAGGCAGAGTTTAAAAAAAAAAAGAAGAAGAAGAAATAAACCACTCATGTTGTTTGAGAACAAAGGCTGAAAATTCAGTGAAATTATTTAGCAATCTGGGGAAAGCAATTTTTCAATTTATGGAGGTTTCATATCTGATCGTTTCCGCAACTTAGCTGTTGCCAGGCAACCATTCAAAGACTCATGATCTTACTCATCACCACCAAGAAATGTCAGATACATATCACTGACACCATGGAACATAATTATATGGATTTTTACTTCCTGGTTTTAATACATAAATCAATTTAGAGAGGAGGAGTAAGTTGCTGTCAAACAGAAATGATTAAATTATTCATCTTTGTATGGTGACATAAGCTATTTCTTCTGCAGCCTTTATACATGCATTGCTTTTTATTAACATGGTGTTGACTGAATTGCCTGATCCCTTTTGATTCTCCATAAGATATTGTGAGGGCAATTTTCAGACTTAACGTATAGGTTATCCTTTTTCAGTCTCACAGGACTGAGTCTATAAATGATTTAAAATTGTAGCTTCTATTTATGTTTAATGTGACAAGAATGGCAAGTACATGAGCACCATGGATCTCAGAAAGAGCACAGTTGCTCGTTAATCACTAAAACGGGCGATATATGCATAACCCAACGCTGGGATTTAAGACTAAAAGATGAAGCAATTCATCTGAAAATGCTTAAACTCAAAACAATCTGGTCTAAAAGCAAATGAGTGTGCGGGCCATTATGTTGATTAATGACTTTAAAAGCTTTATGTGGAAGAATGAACTGGTTAAGAGAAGTTTGAGGTTGCTCTCAAGGCTATACCTATTACACAAGTCAGGGGCAAAGTCTCCTCTAGGGGACTCAGAAACACTTCTCTCTTGTAGAACATCTTTGTTGGCTCATGCTCCGTTTCCTCTGGATGAATGAAGATGGGTCCGAAGAAGAAGGCAGTTCCATTATGCACCCACAGCTTTTCCAACCTGCAACCCAGACAGAGGAGGCATGTTACTGGAAGTTAATGATTTTTACGACACCTAATTTTGGACCCACCTTCATTTTGAGCTTTGCTTTATTTCACTGTTTAAAAAAAATTATACCACACACCTGGCAATCCTTGGGTTTGACAGGCCGTGTGACTGGATGTAAACGCAGTCACCCAGTTTAAACCACATGCTGTTGAAGCGCAACTGTTCATAGAACTGGCAGCCTGGCTCTGCCCCACTCATCTCCATCTGGACATCCTCCCTCTCCTAGATGGATTAGAAACAAACACACAAAACACAGGTGTTTATACTGCGACTTACTTGGAAAACAGTGGTCTGCTGCCACCCAGCTGGATGTCGAGCCTAGCATGTTACAAGAGTTAATTAATCCCCGGTAGTACAGGGGAAGTGACACTGTTGGTGCTGAGAAACAATCCACTGCGGACTTTTCTGTTTCTGTTCAAAGCTGGACGACAGGCTAAGCCTCCACAGAGCTTGATTAAGATGAAGTGTCCTGACTTTGCAGGCATTGCGAGACGATGCCAAAGCCGAAATTCGATTTGTGGTTTTCTATCAGCACATTTATCAGTATATTATTTGTCTTGCTTATGTTCCAGTTTTTGCTGCTATAATAACAAATCTATTAGAACTAACTAATCTATAACTATCTATAGCTAATAGAAACAGACTTACTAAGAAACACAGGAAGCTCAAAGAAAAAAAATTAGGATGAGATCAACGAAGACAGACGTGGACAATTAATAAAAAAAAACTGAAAATATTTCAATATACTGTAAAATATTAATACACACGGCATCACCTTACCTTGTCCACAAAAGTGCCACTTTCTGCATATGACATTGCCAATCTGTCTTGGTCAGGTTTGGCAAACATAGAGGCTACGCGGACGACAGGAAGAGGCACCTCTCGAGGTATTAATTTCACAGAGCTTTCCGGCATGGCCCAGATCTTGATCTTCTTGAAAGCCTTGGTCCTGGCAGTGTAGCGAGACTCGCAAACGTAGACGTCCTCAGCTCTGAAGCCCTCCGGTTGCATTTTGAAATAATCCTATAGTAAGCCACAAAGAGAGTTAAAATTAGAACTGAATTCTTTAGTGAAATTAAATCTACAATTAGATATATTCAGCAAATTTTCACAAAAGGGTCTTACCTTGACAAAGATGACCACACATTTGCCCAAAACTTTAGTGATGGAAAGTTTGTTGTAATAGTCGCCTTTGAAAACCTCTTTTTCCAGAAACTTGCGTGTAGCCAAGTGGAAGGTCTCAGTGGGTCTGTAGAACCAGCAGCCATAAAGCCACTTCTCACCTGAAAAAAACAAATACACTCTATTGGTCATATGTAAATATCAGAACATATATACAAAGAAAATATGAAGGTGGTGTATGTATGCCATTGGTCATCATTTAATATGTGTATATGAGAGTATATTAAAAAGAAACTTAAAAGTAGCCTGTTCCTAACCTGCTTCATCCTCCCAGAGACGTTCTATGCAGACAATATGAGGCTTCAGTTTTGATTCTGAGGGCTCAACGTAGACAAAGTCCCCAACGTGGTATGTGCTGTTTTCAAAGCTGCAGTCCTGACTGTACACGCGCTGCGACTCAGACTCAGACTCGGATTGCCATGCCTCTCCTGAAGTCTCCTCCGCTTTCCCATCTTCATGTAAGAAACACCATGCAGAGCTCAAATGAAGACATGTTCGACATTTTTAACACCTGTGTCTTTGGACAAAACAAACAAACCTTTATTTTCATCTTCCTCTGTTTTTTGTTTGTCCTCCTCAATCTCTTTGGGAATTTTCTCCCTCTTTTCTTGGTCGACATCACTGTGCAGGTGTTTTATGGAGTAGTTGAGTGCAGAAGAGAGCAGAATCTCTCCATTTTTACACAGCTCATCCCGTATCTTAATAAAAAATTGTTGCAGCTCCACTGCATCTTCAAATACCTCAGAATCTGTCCTACAATTAAAAAAACAGAAAGTGTAGGCAGTTTAACTATAGTTTTAACACAAAGCAGAACCAATGAATTTCAAGAATAAATACAACCGAACAGAAATACATAGGACCGTAAATGCTTGGAGATGGTTTGTTTCTCACATTTCTATTAAACTGTGAATCCATCCTCATAACGCATGATTAAATGAAAATAACGATGTAGCATAAATGACACTAGAAAGCTGTTCCTCATTAGTTGCATGAAGATCTGTATCACTAAATGTTTTACAGCTGTAAAGACAAATGGAAGCAATACTGAACAGTTTGGACTTCTATGTGATGCGTCCATTGTAAAAGCTCAGTGCATGTGCATTGTTTATATTAAATTCCATTTCTACCATTTTAAACGTCTTTCTGGATCAACCTTTGCAGCTAAACTGTGCCCAGACTATTTTCAGAGGGGCTGTCATACCTGTGCAGCTTCCTAGCCTTCTCTAGCACTTCAAACATGTGCTCCTGGAAGACGTCCAGTCTTCTGTACCGGCCACGCTCCACATTCATCCTGATAATATCAAAGTTGAGTGGTAGCTTTTCTGGGGCAGCAGGATCCACAGCAGGAATCTCAGCCAGCGAGTCGCTGTAACATCGGCCCTCTTCATCCTGGTGCCCCATTACAGACACAAACAGGTTCCTGATAAGCTCTCGCACCAGAGCTCCCACAGCTGGAGGTCCAAAATCCTCCCCTCCCTCCTGCTTCTTTCGGGTCTCCAGTAACACTCGATGCAACACAAGAGCATCTCGATAAATCAGAGACTCTGGCTCATTGTATATGCAGGCATTGTTGAACATGAGGGCAAAGTCTTCCACCAAAGCATCAACATCTTGGAAGCGGCCGGCTGCCATATGGCTTCGCAGACGTTCCATATCAATAGGCTTTTTGATTGTAGCATAGTAGTCAGGCAACTCAGCGCGGGAGGGCAAACGGAGGAAAATTGTACTTAGACGCCGACCTCGGCGGTCGGTGAAGTTACGCACAGCATCATACAGCTCATTTAGCCTCTGCTGAAGAGGGGTGAGGTATTTGGACTTCTTTGGAGAAACGCCACTCTTTCCTATAAAAAAACAAAATAAAAAAATCATCACAAAAATTTAAGCCAACGCTTGGGATAGCTAAATTAAATCACCTAATATTGCAGACCTCTGCAAAGACAACCAAAACAAAATAATTCTCTCCACACTACAATGTCAGAGTAATCAGAGATGCAATAAAGGTCTTCCAGGGACCACTGGTGATAGTATGCATTATCAGTTCATTCAGTTGGTCATTACTTTCAGATATGTCGTCTTAAAAAGTGCAGGAGGAAATTTTTATGACTAAAGGAGCTTTTATTTAAAATAACTTATATGCAGAATTTAAAGGAAAATGTATCTTAACATGTGATCAACTATTGTGGACCACCAGAGAAAAATTATGCTCATCTCTAAAGCTTCTACAAGTGAGCATTCATATAAAGGGATACCAGGTTAGAGGTTAGAAAACACAATGGTACTCATATTACAGTAAACAAATTCAGCACTTATTCATTCAACTAAAATATGTAAAACACTGATAAACCTTACGCAGTTTCAGTTTTGGCGATCCCATATCATCCTCCTCAAGGTGGGGTCCCAACTCCTTACGTTTGTCTTTCAGTATCTTCTCCAAAATGTCAGCATCATTATAAACCTAAAGAGGCAAAACATTTGGGTATCAAATGGATTTATCTCTTCACAACAGTAATATTAAAGTAAAAGTCTTATAAGATGAAAGTAGTAAACTCTGTGCCAAGAGGAGGAATTCTGCAGACCTGAGATCCCTCCTCATTGTAATGCCGGGCGTTACGGAACATTAACTTCATGTCTTCCATTAGAGCCTCCTCCGTGGCATAGCGCTCATTGCGAATGTTGTGCTCAATGGTTTTCAAGTCCATCGGCTCTAGGATGACATTGTAGTAATCGGGGTAGTCCTTCTTGGATGGTTTGACCATGAAAAGATCGCAGAGACGTCGACTGGTGCCTGCTTCTCTGGCCTCTGTCACTGCAGCATATAAGGCTTTCATTCGGTTCTTCTTGACATTTTTCTTGTGGCTAGACAAAAATCAAAAGAAGAATTTGTGACAATACGAACTGATTGAAAAACGGAAAGATATCTCAAAATCACACTAAATCAGAGTGCTGCGTCAGCAAACGCCCAAAAATCTAGATCTTGAAGAAACAATGTTAATGAACTACTCGTTTAATATAGTGTAAATCATCAAACCTTTTCCTCTTGACGCTCCCCGCATCAGAGGACAAAATGCTGTCTCCATCCTCATCATCTCTTCTCAGAAGTTCTCTCTTTTTTGCCTACACAGAAAACACAAAGAAAAAAATAATAACCAATTTATACAGTATATAAATTATATTAACAGACAGTATATTCTGTCTCTTGACCTGACAGGACTGTTCAGCAACAAATAATTCCCAAGTCCTTACCTGCATGATCTGCTGCAGCCTAAAAGCCCGTTTGTAAATGCTTGAATTTGGCATGTTGTAGCGCTTAGCATTCTCAAACATCAAACTGAGATCTGCGTCTATTTGTTCCACACTTTCATACTCGCCATTCTTCATTTTGGTCCTAAAAAGTTAAGAGAAAAAATGTGTTGAAATCTCAGAAGCCATTGATAAATGACTGTTTGGAGGAAATAACATTAGACTTAGATGTGCCTTCAAACCATACGAGTATTAAGGATGGCTCTTTACCGAATATTGTGCAGAGAGATGGGCTGTTTTATGTGCCGATAGTAGTCAGGATACTCCCTGCGAGAAGGTAGCTGCTGAAAAGGTGCAGAGAACACCTGGCCCTGGTTATTCCTGGCACCCCTCACAGCTTCATACAGTTGGAAGATTGGGTTGCTCATCTCCATACTCGAACTCTGGCTTTCAGCTTCAGACTCCCCCTCATCGTAGCACACAGAGCCTGCAAACAAAAACATTGTAAACATTCATTTTTGGAAACAACATTATCTTTTCTGCTTTGAATATTTAAGACACGTACCTGAAAGCAGAGGGTCGTCCTCACTCTCTGAACCATACTGGAGAGCTACACTCACACCAGAAAGCCGATCCCCCTGTCCTGACCTGCGATTTCTGGGTAGAAACATAAAAATATCTGAATGAAAGAATCCTGTTTGTCTGGGAATACCTCAGGGCCTATTTTCTTTGTTTTAGATTAAAATGATATGTTTAAACCATACAAGCAGGTGACAAGTACCTGATTCGAAGACTTGATTTAGTGGGTTCTGCGTGTTCAAGTTCAATTTTTCGTTGAATGAAGACTTTCTTCATGGTGTTTGCATCCTGCACATTAAGAGAATAGTCAATATTTTGGGTGTTAAGTTGTTAAATCATACAGACAAAAAATGGCCATCATTATAATGATCATATTATTACCTTGAAAATCTGAGATCCTGGTTCATTGTATGTTTTGGCATTTTTGGCCATCAGGTCAATGTCCTTTGCCATAGCATTGACAGTTTTATAGTATCCAATCTACATTAAAGACATTAAATAAAGTGGTTAAAGTGGGTAAATTTAGACTGAGATTTTAGACTATTTATCAGTAACACAATAGAAGTAATTAAGCTAAATGATTACCTGTATTCTCTGAGCGATCGTTCTCAGATCTATTGGCTCTTTTATAACGGCATAGTAGTCTGGGTATTGCTAAAAAAAACAAATATGTGAATTAATTAGTAGTGAATAAAAGCCCCAAAAGCTGTAAGTTCTTACTTCCAATCTATCTTGAATAAGTATGAACACGATTTCATAATTATACCCTGATGAAGCATACACGTTGAGTGACATCGTAGTTGTGCTGTGTAACACTTTCAGTACTGTTAACAAAATTCTGGAAACCTTACCACTTTGGAAGGCAGTTTCTGGAACAGTTCGCTGACTAGTCGCCCTGAGGGATCAGTGTGAGATACTATAGCCTCTAAAAGTTGCTCCAGCACTTCTTTCAAACTCCCACTTGATGTCTAAAAGATAAATACAGATAGTTATGGGATGAAATATTAAAAAAATATATTTTATTCTATTCAACAACAACAACAACAATACGTATTTTCTTGCTAGGTTCCTCATGTGTAAATTTAGGCCATAAAGTGGCTAACATGTAAAGTGACGTAAACTGAATTTAAAGTCTTACCTCGTCATCAGCCGACATTCCTGGAGTATCCATCATATCATCTCCATCATCATCATCCTCATCTCCTTCTCCAGGCTGAACAAATTCATTCCTAGTTTGCAAATATACCTCCCAAAGCCTGCATGCAGCTTGATACTCGTCACTGTCTCTCTGAAAAATTGAACATGCAAAGAGATGAGGATTCAAATAATGCTTGCAGGATGATGAACCCAGGTGACACTGACCAACCAATGTTCCTTTAATAATGTATATGATGTAGAGAAGTTATCAATTAGAGTGGGAATATTGTAACATAACATTTTGATAAAATGTGTGCAACTACTATCACACAAATCAGTTTTGTCCAAATCAAAAAATGGTGAAGGTTGCCGGCAGAAATGACAAACATAAAATTTTGTTTTTCGCTTCACCTTGTAGAAAGATCTGGCATTGTTGAACAAGAGCTGAAAATCTGCAGTAAGCTGCTCCACATCACTGTATTCTTCTGACTTCAATTTGTACTGGATTTTTGTCATATCAATGGGCTGGGAAACCACTTCATAATAATCAGGCTGATTTCTGAAAATGAAGAAAGAATATATGACATCACGCTGACAAATGTATACAAGTATATGCATGAGCTGCCCAGTAACAGTTATGCATGTGTAGACAAACAGCAAAAGGGTATGCAATACAAAAGGAATGACAGCTATACCTCCTCTTTGGTACCCTATGAAAAACTTCACAAAGTTGCCTCCCTTGATCATCCTTAAAGTCCCTGACAGCATTGAACAGCTCATGACATACAGCAATCTGAAAGGCAAAAGGCAATAAAAGATTCATTAAGGAGTCAAAATGCTGTTGAACGCAGATCTTAATCATCCACGACAGACCTGATCTAAACATAAATCATAGCAGAATAATAATAGTTGTGCATTCACCGTATCCACGGGGGGAACATTGGAGATTCTCCTTCTTTTTCTTCCACTTCCAGGAGTCGAGGAGGAAGTATCATCGAGATCTCCCGCTCCACTGATGCTGCTGGAAGGAGAAGTGGCTCGTCTTCTCTTGGAGCTCGCTGACATCGTCGACGGCTGATAAACAGGCTAGCCCACTACCTAAAACACAAAGAAAAAACAGCTGAATTTCCACTGTAACGTGGTAATTCAATTCAAAACGGGTGTTAGTCGCCAATGCCCCCATTTATTAAGGCTAAAATATGAGTGAGCACTTAATTGGTTAGCACCACCAGGGTGTTGGAAACAAAGCAAACAGACGAGCGGCTGTTAGCATTTTTATCCTAGCATCCGTGCCGCATTTCTTTGAAAAGGAAAGTTACATAGACAAAGGTTAACTCATATTGCAAAAAAAGGTAAACTGCACAAAACATTAGCATTTCATTGCATAACTTACTGACTCTCAGCAAAATTGCCGATATTCCCTGAGCAAAAATGTGTAGCGGCTAGCTGGCTAGCTAGTGTTGTTTGAAAACTCCTGTCCGGAAGTTGGGGTAGTATTGTGCTCAGGAGAGAGACGAAAACGCAGGGTCAGAGGATTTGCTGGCCCCTTCAGGTTAGGGGTAAAAATGCACACGGTAGAATGCGTAAAACCGCTTATTCTAAACGAATGGGTAAGGTGTAGGACTGTAGAGAAAAATATTGTAAATTCTATCACAGGGTTTAATCGAAATAAACCAATAAGGAAATAGTTAGATGATAAATTGATATTTGAAAACACTAGACTTGTCTTTGAACCAGGATGTCAAGTCAAAAAGAGGCGACTTCACCATAATCTGCCGTCACCATCTACCAAGAGTAAATCAAGTAACCTCTGAAGATCTACAGTGAATGTGGTAGAAAATGATGAAACTGTGTATCACAATTTCCCAACTTTTTGATCACCTCTCACGTGATGGGAAAACTCCTGTGGGTGAAAAATAACCATTTAAAAATCCCCTGTAGGTGGTTAAACTGCCATCTCAATGATTTTGTTGTAGTTGATTGGCTTTTGTAATAAATAAGTTGGATGAGGTATTTAGGTGCAGCACATTCAGAATTTTGGCCTTATGTGACGTGTTCAACACCAAATCACTGGCACGACAGCATTTTCACTTCGGAGTGACATCCATGTTAGGATTAGGTGGAAACATGAAAATGATTGATGGATTGGAAATAAATCATTGATATGCACAGTTTATACAATGTGAATGATGTCATGGACTCAGTTGTATGTGATAAAACACGCGTTGACAGAACTGACAGGTATACTTGGTTCATACCACAGCATCCGTTGCATCAGGTTGAGGCTAAATGCATTTTAGCACATCCTGCAATACAACTAATACATCTAAAGATGCCACAATATAAAAATAAATTCAATTTGATAGATAACATGACAACATCCATCATGTTACGCCCCCTGGCTGGGCCTAGGTGATATTAGGGACCAGCATAAATTTAGACAGTAAATCAAGGAGTCTAAAGGGCATTCAAAGTGGTTTATTGTGCCATATTTGTAAAGAAGTTGTGCACGTGATTGCTGATTGGACTGAGACCCAGGAAGCAGCACCCAATCCCAGAGGCAGAGCCTGGAACAGAACAAGATATGACTTGGGTGCAAAAACAAAATTACATCCATCCTGGGGATGTAACACTCAACAACAAGATTGTTGGTGGGTCAACACACGTCTTTTAAACCAGGTTGACCTTAGGAACTGGGAACAATTTAGAGTTTGAAGACCTGAAAGAGAGGCAAACTGTGTTTTACCTTCAGATAGGAGAAAAAGAGACACTGAGCTACTGAACAGTTTCATTTAGGCCAATCCATTGAAGACAATCCTTTTCTTTATTGGCCATGTCTTCGGTATGAAAATACTCTTAACTGGTCACAGACTGTGCAGTTGCTGCGTTTTGATGCATTATTCACAGTGACTGGTGTCCCTCACCTAAAACTGCCTGGATAACCTGCACACTGCACACCCTTTGACGAGAAGCTCCCGGCAAAAAACCAGCAAGTGGCCGGGAAGATCTCACCCCTTTTAAGGTAAGGTGTCTCGACAATCAGAAAGGGGAATCTCAGATCATGTTGAGAGAACAGTGAGCGATTTGGTGGTGCACTACGTCCGTAGACGTCTGCCTTCCTTGACGTCAGGAGAAGTCTGAGCGCACCCAGCGCTGCGCACAAGCTCAGCAACCACATCGCTCCCAGAGGAAAGCGGAGCACTGCACAGCTACTGATCGCCATTTAGGTACGTTTCTCGCCGATTTCAGACACATTGAAATGCAGCATCTTGCGCCAAACTTAACTTCTGAATTGCGCTTGTGGTTCGTGGACATGCCGCCCTTTGGCAGCCTTCTGATTCCACCTAAATATGCTTCCAACCTTTGACTGCCATACCCTTGAGCGCCGCAGTAACAGTCTGCACACCCACACCGCCGGATCTTTTTGTACATCATGTTGGTTTCATGATCAAACCAGGACTCGTGTTACAATCATAGCATCGGCCAAACGTTTAAATATCCTTGCGAGGTCCCTTCCCGCTTGTTATTTAAGCCCTGCAGCCTTAATGCAGTGCATGTCAAGCGTTACTCTGGGAATCAGTTTCCACTTGAGGGGAGCTCTTGGAAATGACTCTTGTGTTGTATATCTATTCAATTCTAATCATCAGAAAATGTGTATGTTTTAAGCTTCAAGAGTTAAAAATAGAACTGTCCCTCTGCTGGCATCTGCCTCTGACTATGCGTTTGTGTTTTTTTGCGAAACTCAGGGTCCTCTACAGTGTCTGCTGCTGTGTTGGCCCTACTTTAAAGCTAAGGTGTTTGTAATTGTTGCAAGCTGGCTGTCTGCTGTTAGGTCTGGTGTAATTTTGTGACATTTGGGACCACAAAATGACTCAGTGATTTACTTGTCTTGCTCTTTATCCTGACATTGCTTTTCCTTCAAATATCTTCTCACCATCCTCACCCTTTAACCTTTGCAATTTTCTCCGTAGCATCCCCCATCTGAAAAATGCTGGATCATTAAGCAAATGTTACACAGATAATTCACAGGTCTCCTACTTCAATGCTTCAGGATAGAATTGCAGGGAAACATACACACACTTCTAACAGTTTAATGCCTTTCAGTGAACTGCAGCAGGCAATATCGTTTTAAAACAACATCCAATAGAACCAAATTTAAGAAAAGCAACTCTGAGTCTCAAACAAAGGGGTAATGTTTCTACAGTTTGAGTCCTCTCACTTCTCACCATTAAACACATACATTTCTAAATCCGTGTTGTACTAGAATTACATTTTACTACAGATAAAATCAGAAAGGGATTAAACACACTTCACATTATTAAAACGCTCTCAGGGGGACTTTTAAAAGTACATTTACAAACATCTAGAAAGGTCAATACGCACATCAGTTGTTTTATGGTCTTGAAATTTAGCATGGTGCTCTTGAGGTTTTCCTTTTGAAATGTAATTGCACGCTTTTTGAGTTTGTTCTTTTTGCCCAATAGACATAGTGTGGCGAATCCGATCAGCATTATAGGATGCCTCTTGGAGAGGACGGAAATGGATGGAAAAAGAAGACATCAGACATCAAGGAACATTATGACTTCAAAGAAGTGCTGGGAACGTAAGTAGAAAGACAGCTCAGTTCTATTGTCAGACTAGAGTGGGATTATGAACTTGTGCCCACAAAGACCCTATGGGACCTCTAGGGTGCCACAGTTTAAATGTTTTGCATGTTACATTGAATTACAAGGACCCATTTCAGGAGAGAAATATCCATCCATTTATCTTTAAAGGAAAGAAATGACATGTCAGTGGAGCTATAATGCTCTTGAAATTGAAATAATGAATTAGTTTAATTTTCTCAGTCACAGTTGCTCTGCTGTATTTTCAAATTATTCAGTAGAACAAAGAAAAATCTGGAAAATTACAAATACGTGAAAATGAAATGAGGAGATGGAAAGGAAGTATACCTGCAATCTCGTCACAAGGTCAGCAGTTTCAGCCAAAACTCTGGAGATTTTGACCGTCTTGTTCTTGTCCACTCCTAATGCTGACTATGTTGTTTTTTGTGAAAACACATCACTGTCACTACACTTGCAAAATCAGCCTTCCCCTGTGACATTGAATGGTTTGACTAGACAGATTAAAGCAGAAATGCGAAATATAGCTTGTATTACTTCTTTATAGGCCTTGTTCTGGACTCAAACATTAACACAAGCTGCTTTTGGAGATCATGTGGTTTGCAGAGATTTGGGACATTCACTGTTTGGTACTGATGAACAGTACAGCTAGATATCTTCTTTTGGAAAGTTGTAATGATTTTTTAAAATAACTAATTCACAAACTGCAAAAATAACTTGGCAGCTTGACTTTCTGTTTAGTTTTACTTCTAATGATTCTTCATTTTCTCTTTTGTTATAAAACAGTAGAGGAATTTAAACTTCAAAGTTATGTTCATGAATAATTTTTTCGCAAAAGATATTTTTGCACCAGCAAAAGTAACAGGTGTTTTAATTGTGGCTGAATTCCACTTGGCAGAGCTCCTGGTCTTTTCAGTCTATTCTTTCTCACTGCTATTGCTCACTGGTAAACTTAAAGGAACTGAACCATACTTAAATCACCCTTGTTTTCTCCGCTGGGACAAGTCAGTTACCTGTGAAAAAAGTCTAATGCTTTGATTCCCAGTTTCTCACCCAAATCTAAATATACAGGTAATAAAGCGTATTCTCTTCTTTATCCTTTTCTTCATGTCTATGTGGGGATCAAATCCACTTTTAATTGTTTGTGGGATGACAGGTTAAAGGATTGTAACCAATATTACTGTGAACCATGGGTAGTCATGAGAAGAAGCCTAAATGCAGAGGAAATCGGCGTTACTGGCGCTGTTACCCTGAAAACCTTCACTCTGCTCACACAAAATCTGTTATAGGGCTTTAGCTCAGGATCCTGGTTACATTTTTTTTATTTATTAAGTCCCTACTTTAAAAAAAATACAGCAAAATTAATCTCCATCCAGGGCAGATAAGTCAGTCCAGACCTCTGACTGCATTCTCCTGGCGGAGAGGACTCTGCACAGATGGTCAGGGGGCACCTCTCTGCTCCCAAACTGAGTACAAGTGACCCGAGCACATGTCCACCTGTGATGACATGACTGTGCCATATGTGGCGAGACTGTTTCCTCTCCTGTTGGAATCACACCTGCTTCCCCAGAGGGGCAGCACAGAATTAGATATTAATGACTCCAAATCTCTGGTCCACATCCAAAAGCCGACCAGCAGTGGGCAGGAGAAACTGTAGTTATCTCTAACACTGAAGGAGGACAGCAAATTAGACTCCAGGTGTCCACGTCTCAAAGGTAACATTCATTTCAACAATGTAATTTATCAATGGCACTATGTAACTTTAAGAATTCTCTGGTGCTGCAACATGCTGAAAAGGTCTGTGTTCCACACAGACTTTATAGATGCTCTGAAACAGAGGCTGTTATTCAAAGCATAGAATTAGAGGTTATATAAGGAAGGACTGGATGAATGAAATACCATTATATTGTGTTCCTTTACTTCAAAGTTAAAAACGAGTAATACTTTCTCCCTCCTGTCACTGTTTCTGGACCTGGCAGAGGGCAGAATTAATGTGTTGACGGAAAGCTCCTTATGCTTAGAGAAAAGATTATAGAGGAGCTTTATCCATGCGTGACGTTAATTGATTTGTGTTGAAATATTATATTCTGATCCAACTAATCCTCACAGTTTTACCTCTGTTTGAAATTCACTTCAGGACAAACTATCCTCATAGTGGGTTTAGCATGGAAAAAAGAAGCATCTATCTTGCTCTAGACTCTAGAGACAGTTTTGCTGTTTTATTTGTTTTCCTCATTGGCCTTTTCTTTTTAAACTATGTCAGTTATCTAGGTTGAAACTTAATGAACAAATTATGTCTTCAGTTGTAAAGAAGTAAATAGTTGTGCAGATCTCTGAAAATTAGAACAAATGATCACAGTTTTTCTTTATGTACTGAATTCGTGAACAGGTCAAGTTTTACCTGATCGTCTCGTCCTTTTTGTAAGGTTGAATCTATCTGAGGAATCAAGAGCTTTGTTGAAAATAATTTTTGTTAGTTTCCAAAAAAGCCAACACATGGTGCAATATAGGAAACACAATACTGAATGTTTTTTTGTATAGTTATAAATAGATTTTTGCCCCAATTGTTCTACATTAAATGTGTACAGTTATATCAACACATCATCAGCAGGTTAAAACTAACCTGTCTCACAGTGGTCTAACCCAGTTCAGTGTCTCTCTGTAAAAAAAACCCAACGCTTCCTGAATTATGCCTCTCGAAGATAGGGAGAGCCCATTGTATTGTTAAAAGAAGAGCTGATTTTCGCGGTGATTAGCCGGTTCATGTCTTAATTCTTTTGACGTGTTGTCAGCATCAGATTTAGAATGACCCTCGGTTTTTATCTTTTTTATAGAGTATTGTAAATGAAACTCTAAGGAAATGAGATTTTGAGAGTTTTCACTGAAGACTAAAAAAGGCAGTTGAGTAAATCAGCTCACTCGCCTCTTGCTGCTCATGTGATGTTTTCATTAATCTAATTATCAGAAGTGTTAGCTTCTGTAATGTGTCAGTCTGTAATCAAACTCGTCATTGTGAATGTCTTTTTCGTTACAGTTTGCTCAAATGTCTAATGAGATAATTTTATTTTTTAGTGTTTATTTTTTCAAAATTGAATATGATTATATTTTTTGGTCTTTAATAAGGTGAACAAAAAACATATTAAAACTATGGAAGCTAGTTTGAGCTGGAGGGGGCTGGTCACATTGACACATCATTTCAATGCCACACAGAAGTTAAACCTGCTTTAAACATCTACTGTTTTTATTTGACTTTTATTCCTCAATGCTGATATTTGATACAAACTGCCCAGAGAAACAAGATTGCACAGCAATGCCAGATTAAAAAGCTAAAACTAAACACTAGAACACTAAAAACGAGAAACTAAACACAACTACTGGAAAGAGCTGCCGACACTAGGGGGGGATGAGCACGGCCATCATGACAGGCATTTAGACAGTAAGGATCTGACATGGAATAAATGAACTGGCAAGCTGAAATGGAGGGGAGAGTGGCTGCTAAGGGAAAGCAGCTAAGGACAACAAGCCAGGTGAAAAAAAAACACAGGGGAAGACTGTGGAAGATGAAGGTGGCAAAAACACAGAAGGAGAGTTAAACTGAGGCCCTCTTTGAAAAAGAGAAGATGCCTGTTTATTATTTAATTCATGTGTAGAATATGAGAAAGATCAATTTAAGGATTACTTGAGCAACCTGAGTACTCATAATGGTTGGTATTGTGTGTGGACATCTGGATCTGGAGATTGATTTGAATTTGAAGGTGCTGTATGTTCACACATCATCACTTGTTATTTTTTTAGCCACCCTAAATACAGAAAAAATTAATTTGGCTCAAATGGATAGCTTTTTCGGGAGAGTTGTTCGGGTCTTTACCAGTTGAGGGATTTTGAGTGATACGTCAAGTAGTGATGAAAAACTAGCAGATTTTGAGTTACCATATATTTTTTAAATAAAATCTGGACCTTATTTTTCAATGATTTAGAGTCTTACTTACTCTTAGAGGCTCCAGGTCGCCAGAGACCCTACTAGCAGATATAGAGAATGGAGTAATGGATCGACAAATTAAAAGGACCAAAATGAGAGACAATTGTCTTCTTGTGGGGTTCAGAGTTGGATAAGCAATTACATTTTTTGAGAATTTGTCTTTCAACAGTAATGAGGAAAAAGTCATTCAATTTAATTTAGCTTCTGTTTTGCAAAGATGGCCCGAACCACAATAATCTACAGAGTTACTTTTTATCAGAGCATCTTTTCTAATGAAGAAAAAAATGTTAATGGGTTTTTAAGGATGAACCTGTATACTGCTCACTCTCCTTTGTCTTTGGATTGCTTTGTCTGAGAGCTCAGCCACAATCATCACACCTGTCAGTTGTTTTTCAGCTCCCCTACTGGGGACTGGAACTGGTTTTGGCAGACAGGCTTAAAAACAGCCAACAGTGAAGACCTTGCAACTGTTCAGATCACCCTGTGTCTCTCCACCTCATTATTTTTTTCAAGTTTTTAGTTACACATGAAGTTCCATTAAAGTCCATTTTTAAAAATGTTGCTGTTACTTTACCAAGTCCAATAAATGAAAGGGTGTTAAGTTAATAAGCAATTTGATTGTATAATGAAGTTTTTGCCAGACTCAACAACGGGAGGAATGAATTTTCTCAAGCCCATCAGCGGCAACACACGTTTAGTTTGGCCTCAGAGTCTATAAAAAGTAGGTGTTATCATCTGCTGACAGACATGAAGTCAGTGTCATACCTCAGATAACTGCTTAGTGATTAAAAAATTACCATCATACATTTACTTATTAAACGCCTCATGAAAAATTCTACATTGAAACATTAAGTTATGCTGTGTGTTGGTTGTGTTGTATGTGTTTACATTTCTACTGCTCTGCTAGTAGCTGTGCTGTGAACAAATGACCTTCCACTTTAAGCTCTTGGCATATCATTTAAGAGCATTAAAAGAGTTTTTGTGGTGTAGACTCTGTCTGATAAGTGTGCATGAGGTCTTTCTGAAAAAGAATTCCATATTTTTTATGATAATAGGTGCTGAACGGTGGTGTGATGCTAGGCACTGTTGCCTGACAGCAAGATATATCCCGGTTTGAGTCCCTAGGGGGGGCGGGGGGCCTTTCTGTGTGGAGTTAGCATGTTCTTCCTGTGAATGTGTGAGTGCTTCAGCTACCTCCCAATGTGGAAGAACATAAATATTAGTGAATGTGAGAGAGTGAAGTCTCTAAATTGCCCCCAGGAGTGAATGTGAGTGTGTGTGGTTGTTTGTCCGTGTGTGGGGCTAAGATTAACTGGCAACCTGTTCAGGGTGTGCTCCACCTCTTGCCTGTTGTCAGCTGGGATAGGCTCCAGCCAGCCACGACCCTACAAGGAATAAGTGGCATAGAAAATGTCTGGGTAGATGAGTGTGAGGGTTGTTATAGACTTGGGACCCATGCACAGGGTTCACTACCTTTTACTCAATGCAGCAGGAACACTCTCTGTGGCTTCTTTCTCTCTTTATGGATGGATTGATGAAGACGTTTTCATTAATTAATTTTGGACGAAATGGAAACAACCAATTTCCAGGGTATTGTTCAGCAGTGTATAAAACAAACTTCTGGTGATTTTTCCCATCAGTTATCCACTGTCTGCGGAAAACTGTCTTTTGGTATAAGCAAACAGTACTTGGAAATAAAAGGAAAAATATAAATATATATGTACTTCTAAAGCGGGCCCACCCCATCTTATGTAGCTTACCGATTGAACGTGAAAAAATGTAATGATGATTTATCAGACAAAGACACTAACTTGTAGAAAAGCTACAGCAGCAGATCAAGAGTGAGAAATTCATGGTGATTTTAGAACGTGTGAATCAATATTTGCCCATATAGGCAGCTGGGATTACAGTATCTTTATCAAGTCTTACTTGTGTGCATATGTGTAAGTGTGTGACTGTGTCAGACAAGGACTCATGCTGCGTTGCATGTGTTCATGTGGAGCGGATGGCTCAAGGCACCCTCATTCTGCTATCTATCTATCTATCTATCTATCTATCTATCTATCTATCTATCTA